ACCAACTTACCACTCTTCAAGGAACCCACTGGTAGCTGTTCATCTTTCTCTGCCTTCACTGCATTGTTTCCCTTTTAGTAGAGCCTGCTACAGAGCCTACTACTAAACAATCAATACTATTTCTTGCTTATTACTACTAGTATTACCAACTATTACTATTACTATCACTACTACTAGTACTAGCTATTAATATATATTCCTCATTGAAACCAAGCTGTATATGGTACTACTACTACTAGTAGTAGTAGTAGTAATACTCCTGCTACTAGCACTAGTACTACTAGTAGTAGTAGTACTAGTAGTACTCCTAGTAGTGGTACTGCTGGTGGTACTACTACTACTAGTAGTACTAGGACCTCCTACTTCATACCAGTAGTTTCAGCATAAAAAATGTATGACCCAACTACCCACTGAACCAAATATGTTCATTAKGATGTAAGATAAATTATACAAGAGACTCCTATGGCATGACTTTCTCCAGCCCAGATGGCACWCTCTCCTTCTMCATGTCGATCATTGGCTTTGTTGATGACTCTACCGTCATCACCGCTTCACCCCCAGACGCTTCCCTTGCTGATCTCTTGGACAGACTTCAATCTGATGCACAACTTTGGCAYGATCTTCTTTGGTGTTCAGGGGGGAAGYTAGAACTTCCAAAATGTGGCTTTCACCTCTTATACTACGACTTCCAATACCTTCCTGAATCTCCACTGGATATGCTTCCTTGTGTTCTTCACACAACTGGTGATATCTTCCTGACTAATCCTCTTGGAGAACCAGTCCGAATTGCGTCAAAGAACATATTCACTCCACGCAAAAATCTTGGCCACCACAAGTCCCCATGTGGATCATACACAGCTCRGTTGAATGCATTATTATCCAAAGCTGATTCAATCTGCTCAGCCATTCACCGCTGCTCCCCCAACAGACCTACAGCGCGAATGCTTTATGAAACAGTCTTACGTCCTGCTATTGAGTATCCCCTGCCCCAGTCCTTTTTGTCTTCCGCCCAACTGCTCAAGTTGGAAAGGAAATACTTTCCATGCATCCTCTCACTCTGTGGCTATGCCCGCACTACCGCCAGAGCCCTCCTATACGCACCAGCGTCTGTAGGAGGAGCAGGGTTCATCCCACTGGAGGTCATCACTGGCAGAACCTATGTCACTCATTTCTTGAAACATTGGAGATCCAATGATATTGCTGGGAAACTTCTTAGAACTGTACTATGGTGGTTTCAATTATTCTCCGGCCTCTCCAAACCTGTCCTTGAATTTCCCTCCATTGCAATACCATATGTCCCTGGCAAATTTTTGCATCATGTTCGGCAATATCTGACCACTATACAAGGTACCATCACTGTTGACACCACAGGGCTGGTGCCACCTCTCCGGCATGGCGATCACACAATTATGGACCTTGCCCTCGCCAGCATCCATCAGCAGACCCCTAAAATCTCAAAAGGCCATCTTTGCACGCTTCACAGGATCAATTCAGTTCGCATATATCTCAAGATCCAATGGATTAGTGAACTGTGCCTTCCTGGTACAAGCAAGCTGTCCCCTAGCATTTTCTCCCACCAACGATTGGAATTCTACCATCCTACCAATGCATATCCATATCAGCCCAAGCCTGACAGATCGAGTTGGAATGCCTTTCACAAACTACTTCGACGCATCTCCAGCGGTTCTGTCCCTGACAGGATTCTGACCAAAGCTTATCGCCTTAGAAACTGGCATCCTCATCATGCTAGCCATGGGGTATGGAATGCTTATTTGTCTAATGATCATCCCATATGGACTTCACCATGCCCAGGCAGGTGGCAGTCCCATCCTGTTGTCCTAACCCAAATTGGACCCCCACGATCATCAAGTGTCTCTGGTACATACCCTCCTGGCCAACACGTCCCAGTTCTCATTTGGACATCCAAAACAGATGGCTTTCAATATGACCCTACCAGCGCACGTCAAGTCCGAACTACCTGCAGCAGGTCCCTCCATCACGAACCTAAGACATGGCCTGCAATTCTGCGCTGCCTTGCTCCATGGCAATTTCAACTCCTCAAGCTAGTCCAGTTTGAGACCAGCTTCTCCCACGCTCTAGATGTACTGGCAACCAGAACGCCCCTTCTCATGGTTTCAGATGGGTCTGGTAAAGACGGTTGCATGTCCTGTCCTTTGGTTGGTCACTAGCTACCAGCACAACTGGGGATAGAATTGCTCATGCTCATGGCCCATGCTTTGGCAGTGAGAGCTCGCTTCGTGCGGAAGCCAATGGATTGTTATCAGCTACCCTTTTTGTCACTATCCTTGCCTCGCATTTTCACCAATGGTATCATGAACTGAACCCTTGTTTTCATTCCAAATATGGAATGAAAGCACAATCTCAACTTGATGAGAAAAGTACACAGTCTGCAACCAGTACTGACACTCCACACTCCTTACACACATTAGAAAATAACTTGCCCAGTTTGGTCAAGTTATTTTCTGAGGGAGATCACGCAGAAACACATCCAACCTCCCCATGCCTTTCCCCAGCACTGTCCACTCAAAATCATAGAAAGGTTAGAAATTTCCAAATTGATTCTCAATTAGGCAATGAAGTGGAAAATTTCTCCACTCTTATCTGCACCCTGAATGACATGCACCTCCAGACCAACATCAACATCTTTCACCTTCACCCTCTTCTGATACAAGTATTTCAAGTTCATCTTCCTCTACTGGCGCCACCACACCCTGTCCAACACAGGTTGCCTTTTTCAGTGACAGCAAAGGGCTCATGACTAGACTCCAATCCAGAAGTGAATACAAAGAAGTCTACGCCAATGCTACTCTAGCACCAGAATTTGACTTGATTGAACAGATCTTTCAAACCGTTCAGTCTCCACATATCACTTGCTCCTTCTCTTGGGTGAAAGGTCACCAAGATGACAACGTTGCTTTTGATCAACTTCCTCTGCCAGCCCAATTGAATGTAGAAGCTGATAGTTACGCTGGGGATTTTCAGGCTCAGATGGATAAACCGAATTTCATCACACCAGTTTTACCTTCATGTCCCGCTGTGCTTCAGATCCAATCACGCTCTGTCACCAGCCAATATAAGAGAACTCTCACAGATTCATGTCTGCTCCCCAGATATCACGCATAGTACCTGGCAGGGAGGAACCAGTGGACTCCACAGGTTATTGCCAATATTGCCTGGAAGTCCCTGAGCATTGCCATCCACCGCATCTCCAGAAATGTCTTGGTCACTAAATGCTGCAACAATATTCTGCCCACTGCCACTGTTCTCAAACGATGGAAATACCAACCCCATGATACTTGTTGTCTCTGCCAGATGCCTGAAGATTGCGAGCATCTTTTTTGATGTTCTTATCCATCACAACTCAGATGGCGCAGACAGACCATTACATCTTTACGACAACGGATATCCACACTTGGCTTCCGGCCAATTGCCATTGACACTCTTGCTACATGTCTTACTGAATGGCTAGACACTGGCACAGTTTCTCCAGAGAAATATCCTACATCCCTTCACCCAGTTATCCATTTCCAGAGTGAGATTGGGTGGCACCACGTGTTTGCTGGTCACATTTCACTCCAGTGGTTCACTGATCTCGATCTTCATTCGGGTTCTTACTCCCCTCTCATCGTGCTGGGGGGTTATCTTGTGGAATTCTTTCTTACCTCCTACATATCATTATGGGAACAACGAAACAAAGACCTCCATGGCTACACACTTACTCCGAAGTAGGCAAAGCATCGACAGCAGGTGGTGACAAAAGTCCGCACTCTGTTTGAACTGAAATCACAGACATGCCCATCCCACGCCTACCTCTTCCCAGAAGACATGATGGACACCTTTTTATCAACTGCATCTACTTCCATGCTCACATATTACATTCGAGTCTACGAGAAAACAATTCTGGCGAGCGTCACCAAAGCAACACTTGCATCTGTCTCCAACACCAGACCAATTACCCAGTACTTTACATCATTGCCACATAGTAAGCAACCACCGGAGAGCGTCACACAAGATTCACTGGTCTTTGACGCCTACTCCAAAAAGAAGGGACACAAACAACCTGCCATGCCAGAGACTTCTTTGGCTCCTCCTGTCCATTCTTCCAGTTTGCTTCAAACCAAGCTCAGTCAATACTTTTAATTCCAGTGAAACAAACCCCTGGTCCCACTTCCACTAACACTCCTCGGAGGGAAGTGCCGCCCCTCGGAGCAGCTAGGAGCATTCTTTCTAACAAAAGCTATGGTTCTGGCCATATAGCGCCTCTTCTAGTTCACGAGGTAAAAAATAATATTAAGATTTTTTTTTAAATTATACAAGAAACTAGGTCTTAATTGGATGCTTAGATGCTATTTTACACCACAATTAAGTTTGCAATGTACGGTACTAGATTGTGCAGTTTATTACATGCATTTAAAACGTAAGGGACTAAATTTGTACTTAAATTGCAAATTTGCAGTTTCGTCGCCGAGTACGTAGACTTCTACCTAACGTTGGCCATCATCTCCTTCGATTCTTCGACATCAAACATCTGATTATCTGCCAATCAGCTCTCGTCTATCAACTCTTGAAATACTTCTAATACTGTAATACAGTATCATACTACTCGTACGATCTTACTGTACTGCTTGTACCGCACGAATCGTTTGTCGCAATACGATACAGTTCTGCAGAAGGCCATCAAACTTTCCGGTACCAGTACTCGTAGTCTACAAGGTACGGTACCGTACAAAATGCGTCAAAAGTCAAAGGCGAAGAACACAAAAAGATGAACGAAGAGGAACTAAGAGCTAATCTTTTTTCCTCTTCGAACGAGAAAACAACGAATTTACGGAGCGTACCCGTATTTAGTGTTCTCCCTGGCATCTGTCTACCTCCAATTAGTTTCACACATAAATTCAACGTTCCTATCTTTGTTGCAAATAGATAGAACCATCTCTCCCAGTCACTATCAAGCAAATTCTTCTCTGAAAAATGCCGCCAACTATGCCAGCATACGCTCCGGGACAAACCCGCAAGCGCAATGTGAACGATGTTCTCGAAATCCTGGACAAGGACGGCGCCAAGAATATTCTAGTTCGGGTCGACTTTAATGTTCCAATGGATGCTGATCTAAATATTACCGACGATTCAAGAATTCGCGGTGCCATTCCCACGATCGAGATCATTTTGAAGTCTGGGAACAACGCAATCTTAATGAGCCACATGGGTCGTCCCAAGAAGGTCCAGAAGGGGGAAGACGACGACGGCTCCCAACGAGCGAGCCTGTCACTGAAAGCCGTTGTCCCTCGCTTGACGGAGCTCACCGGTGCCGACGTCCGATTCGTAGACGATTGCATCGGCGACAAGGTAAAGGAAGCTGTTGCCGAACTTCCCGGGACCGGTGGATCCATCCTCGTCCTAGAGAATCTGCGATTCCGCAAGGTACGTGTGGTAGACGGCGATCTTTTCTCGATTTTATTTTTTGTTTGGAGCATGCTTGTCAATTTTCCAGCTCGTGCTTGTGTTTGTGCCTTGGTTTCGTCTGTGCGTACTCACATTCTTCCAAACAATCGTCAAATCGATGTTTTTGCGATCGCAATACTTTAGGACGAAGAATCGAACGTCGAGTCTTTTGCCGAGGGCCTTGCTTCGATTGCCGACGCCTACATCAACGATGCCTTTGGAACTGCTCATCGTGCGCACGCAAGTGTCGCGGGCGTCCCTGCCTTGCTGCCCAAGGAAAAGTGCGGAATCGGCTGCCTGGTTGCCTCCGAGGTAGCCTACTTGGACTTCAGTCAGCTCGCCGACGGCGAAAAAGTAGCTGCTAGTAAGTGCACTGCTGTACACGCATCATTTGCCTCGATGATTAGAACTAATGTCTGACGAAAATTGTTTTTGGTCTTCCTTTGCCATTTGCTGTTCTTGGTGAAAAGTAATCGGAGGGTCCAAAGTCTCTACTAAGTTGCCAGTCATCAAGGGGTTGATCAACCAAGTTCAAATCTTGGTTTTGGGAGGAGGTCTCGCATATACATTTTCCAAAGCAAAGGGCATCAACATTGGAACCTCTTTGTGTGAAGACGATATGATCGATATCGCAAAGGAAATCCTAGCAGCTGCTGAAAAGAATGGAGTAAAGCTACTACTTCCGGTCGATGCTGTTGCAACAACCTCGTTTCCTTCGGGTCCCATGTCCAGAGACGACACGAAGACGTTTGATTTGGTCCCCGGAAGTGGCATCGACGACGACTTCATGGGTCTTGACGTTGGTCCTAAGACTCGTGCTCTCTACAAGGAAGGTCTCTCGGAAGCTACAAAAATCATTTTCAATGGACCAATGGGGGTTTTTGAAATCGAGCCCTTTGATGACGGTACCAAGGCATTGGTGGACGCGCTCGAGGAAAACACCAAGAACGGAGCAATCACCGTCGTGGGTGGGGGAGATTCCGTAGCAGCTCTCGAGAAGTTTGGAAAGACGGATGCCGTATCCTACGTTTCCACAGGCGGAGGTGCTACCCTTGAACTTTTGGCAGGTGACGTTCTACCTGGTGTCGCAGCTATTGCCGATTTCACATCGGAATAGGAGTATTTGGAAGTCCACGTTTTGAAATGAAAACGTTCGCTGTGTTTCAAACATTACAACATAATTCTAGCAGAAAGATTGCATATTAACAGTAAGCATCGAACAAGATGCATCATATGGGTTTTATTGCATCGATACCCCCTACGCTAGTAGAAGTACTAAATAATACTTCGGTTCTAGTATCATAAGATCGAATGCCAGCATAGAGAGCTAAGAATTCAACCAACTACTAGAAAAAATCTGACAGCAGCCACTACCGCCAATTTCCTAGTGTGCCAAGAATAGAAAAAATATTAGTAACAATCTGTGTTCGAAGCAGGAACATGGCTCTAGTACTAATACCAAAATTACTACTGGGTTGAGATTGATCAAGGAGCTCCTTCTTTGGTCTGTGTGTTGCTGTATTTTTTGGACCAGGTTTCTGTCTCTCTGGAAGACTTTGCATTGCCTTCAAACAGTGGTAATTTTTATACCAATTTTGCAAATTTTTCTCCTCCTTGAACTAATCCTATACTTTCTTTGGGCTAAATTGCATGAACCAACAATCAAAAGAACAAAAAAATCTCACATTTTTGTTCAGAGGAGTGTACAGAGAAGGAAAATTAGCACTCCTTATTGCAACTTCATAACATAATTTTCTTTGTGCTCAAGCTGACTGGTAGCAGGACGAGGAATGATAGATTACACTTACATTGTTACAACAACCAGGAGTCCTGTGAGCTGCATTTGTCTTTCCAGATGTACAAATAAGAGGCATCTTCCAGAAGAGGTACAATGATTTTTGCAAACCATGGTGCATTCTTTAACACTTCTTCCACCCTCTAGCACAATCTTCTCCTAAACCCTTACCACCACCAAGGATCTTGGAGCTGTTTTGCTCCTCTCCCTTGTCCTCCTTCTACTATTAAGTCTCCAGTTGCCAAGAAAGAGCTTACACTGCAAATAGAAACCTTATCAAAACTTGGTAGATGCTGGACCCATGGGATATAAGGGTTGGTTCACAGTTTGGATGGATGGATGAGAACCACGCCATGACTGTTTTCAAGAGCACTGTCACCAGGCCAATGAGAGCAAGTTCCAGCACAGTGAACATGGAAACAGATGAAATAGTCAAAGAAGACGAAAAATCAAAAAAGAAAAGAAAAGAAAAAGATCCTGGTAAATGGTAGCCTGCACATAACATTTTTTATCCAAGAATGTTGTGGTGAAGGAATTGCTCTTGTTCCTCTGATAGAGAACAGGGGGAATTCTCTCTGAATTTTGCTAACTTTGCCTTTCCAATGCTTGTGCCCCTGCAATTGCCTGCCAAATGAAATAAACACTGGAGGAGACTTGGGCCTGACTGACATCTATGACCCATAATGTGAATGGTGATATTATTTGCATAGTGGGGTAATAAGAAAGTTTCAATTGCTGGCACTACTAGTACTCCCAGTTTGGTGGCTTTGTTGTCTGAACCTCAAGTCTTGCCTTTGCATTGGCTTGTGCTGCCACCAGCTAATGTGTGAGAGCAAGAGGCTCTTGGTTTAAATTGAATGGCCCCCTATTGGGATATCTGGTTAGTAGGACAATATTCATTTTGACCACTTCTGACTCTTTCATATTTTGAGCAGAATCAGCACACAATCGGGTGGTTACGAGACTGTTCTATTGATATGAGACCACCTAATCATTTTAACAACCAGATGGGAGCAGCTATTGTTTAGCTCAAACATCTATTGCTTATTGATCATATAAACTTGATAAAGCACAAATGAACTACTACTCTACCATGGAAAAGGAGTTGCTAGCAGTCATTATGTGTCTACAGGAATACTGCAACATGCTTTATGGGGGAAAGCTCAATGTCTATACAGATCACCACAAGAACTTGACATTCAGAACCTTATCTCAGGCGCAAGTTTTGCACTGGTGCCCTGCAACCAAGGACTTTGATATCACCTTCAGGTACATTCCAGGCAATGAAAATGTACTGGTGGATTGTTTTCCTAGAGTGCCCAGAATGGATCCATGCACTGTTGGGGATAAGGAAAACAAAATGTATGAAGAGAAGAGAGGTACACTAGTAAATTTCAAGGAATTGACTGCTGGTGATATTTTCTACTTAGAACATGAGCTATATGAGTGCCTGCTCTGAAATCAAAGATCAATCAGAATGAGGATTGAGTGATGTGTGAATTGAATGAGTCAAGTCAGTCACACAAGTGAATCAAACAAATCAAGTCAATCACGTGGTGGATCCATAGGATTGAATGAGTCATGAATGAAGAGTGTGTATGAATCATAGATATGTGTCATACGTATGTGTCGTAGATATGAATCATACCAACAATCTGATATGCTACAGGAGACAGCATATTTTGTGCACAGTTATATGTATGCGCTCGTTACCAGGCTCACACACCTCAACAGGTACAGTTGTTTGGCTGTCATGATTGCAATGATACAACAAGTGAGTACATACAGCACAGAACACAAAATTAATTGGAGACTATCTACAAACTCATGTAGAAAGTAGTACAGCAGAAATTCAAAATCACTTGTGTTGCTGCTGTATCAGTGTCCTCCATATTGTATCAGCAAGCATCCACTGTATCAGGGAGCATCCTCCATATCAGCATCCTCCATACAGTAAGGGAGTGTCCTCCATATCAAGGAGCAACCTCTGTTTCAGTTTCAATTGTCCTTGGTATCAGTATCATCTTCCAAATCAGTGAGCATCCTCTGAATCAGGAACTTGGATTGTAACAGCCTCCTCTGTATCAAGGAGCCCCCTCCATATTGTCAGCATTAATTGTCCTCTATATGAGCACAAGCTGGTAATTTTGAGCTGCTTCAACAATTACAGAAATAATAGTAGTATCTGTGGAAGAGCTCTGCTTTCAGTACAACAAGTATCTTCAAGAACAAGCTCAAGAGCTTGTTCCTGAAGAAACTTGCAGCAACCTCACTTCAACCTTGAGCTAAAGCTCTTGATATCAGTGATGTTACTGGTGTACTCAAAACATACAAGAAACAAACCCTAATGAGGTGGAGACAGGTCCAGAGTCAGTACTACAAATTTTACACAGCTCTATGGAGGGAACAATACCGCTTATTTGGGTATACAACTTTAACCTGTCTCAAAATGTTTTAAGAAATTCCTAGGACTTCTTTCTATGCAGGAAGCTGACTGATTTCTGCGCCCTTTTTTGCTCACTTTTGGTAGTTACAGTGCTGTATCTTCTTCTAAAACACTAGGCCAACCTGTAGATCTGCTTGTTCTTATTGTAATGAAGTTATTCCAGTGGATGTGTGGAAGGGAAGTGTTTTTATAACTCTGTGTGGCTGGTGAGACAGACCATTTGAATAGGGTGATAGCCCCAGCTAATAAACACTGGTGTGTTTTGTTGTACTTGTAAGTTCCCTGTCTTAAATTCATGTCACACCACATAGTAAGGGATTGTACCTCATACTACCAGAAAATGTAGTTGTGGAAAAAACTTTGTACTGAGCATTCTTAAGCTAAAATTATTGAATGGACGCTGATACGAGTCGATGATACAATACGGAGGACGCTGATACGAGTCGCTGGTGATGCAATACGGAGGACGCTGATACGGAGGATGCTGGTGATACAAGTCGCTGATACAATACAGAGGACACTAATACAATATGGAGGATGCTGACACGGAGGACGCTGATACAAGTCGCTGATACAAGTCGCTGATACAAGTCGCTGATACAAGTCGCTGATACAAGTCGCTGATACAAGTCGCTGATGCGAGTTGCTGATACAGAGGATACTGATACAGTGTCCGCTGATACAGATGAGGATGAGTTGCTGAATTGCAATTTCTACTGTATTTTCTACATGAGTTTGTACTAGTTCTCACTTATTTTCTTTTTTAGTACTTTACAGTGTACCTGTTGATGTGCAAACGCCTGGTTACAAGTGCGCACAAGGGAACCAGTGCGCCTGTTTTTGTAACCAGACCCTTTTTTTTGTAACCACACTACTAGTAGTATTGTGTAAAAAATATGGGCTCTCCTTAGGAAAGGGTTTGGTTACAAATTCTGGTTACAAAATTCAGTCCGCGTGCTTTGTAACCAGTTGAGGTGCATGTACTTAGGCAAAAAATAACTAGTGTTTGTACGCGCGATATGCTCAACAAATCATGTACCTAAAAAATACTACGCGCGCTGAGTACATGGAAATGTTGAGCTGCTCAACGGTTACAAGTTGTACTAATATACAGCATGCAACTTACAACTATGACTTCCTACTACTTCTACCAGTGTCAATACTACTTTTAAAATAGTAAAAAGATACAATAATATTCCATTTGCTACTGAAAATATTGAATGCAACAGATACGTACGTAATGTATTGGAAGTCTACATACGTACAGTATTGGAAGTCTACATACGTACAGTATTGGAAGTCTACATACGTACAGTATTGGAAGTATACATACGTACAGTACTGAATTGGAATGGTTGGACATACCATTCCTACCTACATATTATAAGTTAATATTCATATATATATATATATATATATATATCATACGATCCAGCGTACTGAGAGGAGGTCTAAGAATACTAGTATGAGGTATGATTAAGATGACGTTGCAAAGAACAAAGATGTCACAAGTCGGGAATAGTAAGAACCTCATGTAGATTCAGTACCAGATCTACATAGKGATCTAATCGAAACTCTGGAATTCTCATGCACTTGCGTGATAATCTTTAATCTTATAATTTCATTATTCATATACACTTAAAGCAAAGTAGACGTAATCTTGTGCACAGTAGTAATTACTACTACACCGTTTTTAACATGTAAAGAAATTAATCAAGCCTCAAGAAAAATCACCGGATAAGTGAATCGACCATGGTGAAACCAAATTCAAACAAAAAAATACTTATACCAATCATGTCTCAGCCTTGATAACAACTTTGACACAAGCAAGATTGAGAAGGTTACCTCTAAGTGGAGCATCCAGCCTGGACAGAGACCAGAGGAAGAGCAACTAGTGCAAGAACAATCCAAATCCAATCAAGCAGTCTAAGAAGGAAATGCTCGGTATTTTCAGGACTACATGGAGTGCAGGAATTGTTCCACATTGAGGAAGACTTTGAAGATGCAATACTGGTGGACTTGAAATTGACAGGCAAACTAATAGACCAGAAGTGGCAAATGGTCCTAGCTCACCGGCCAAGACAAAATTGGAACAACATGTGGAAAGGTCCCAACAGATTGACCATAGGAAGGAGCAACAAGGATCAATGGAAACAAGCCCTTGTTGCCTTCAGGGAATTCTGCACCCCATCAAAACGAGCCAGAGACGACGAGGCTGTCAAATATTTACAGTCAGATGCAGTACGTGAGACTCCCAGAATCACATGTCAAGCACACACAGCAAGCACCCTTACTTGTTGTGTCAGAGCCAGTCTACTACGCAGAGGGAAATAAAGGAGATCCTCTTTAAGTCATTCCCCAATGCTTGGCAAGATTAATACATCAGTTGTGGGAAGGATATTCTCAAGGAGTCCCTCAGCAAATAGTTAGATTCATGACTGACTGAAAAAGAATGTCAGATAGGAATGATAACCAAACTAGAAAAACAGCAGCAGCAAGTGATTCAGGTGAACACAGGTCAAGGAATGGAAAGAAGCAAAGGCAAAGCACCGGCAACAACAATGACAATGACCGACAAAAGGAAAGACAGAAGAAGATCAATGCAAGGCCCTGCAGGAAGCATAATGGAGAGCACACCTGGGGAGAATGCCCATTCAACAGGAGAGGTAACAATTACCAAGGAAACAGTCAGAGAGGTAATAACAATAATAACTGAGGCTCAAATTCAAATTCAAACTCAACTAATAACAACAGTCGGACATATGCACCGGGCAACTACCATCTCAATAAAAAAGGGTAACTGATTCCACTGCAACAACAGCCTCCACTTCAAACTTATCAACTTGCCCAAGCGCAGAATGGTTCTAATTCAAGTGGCGGTCCACCAAGCCATGTCTCTGTGCAATCCAGCAATGTAGGCTCAACAGTCAAGTTTCACAGACTCAATCAACAGTGGTGACAAGCACCGGAGCCAGTGCAGAATAAGGAGGCTTTCCTTGCACTACCTCCAGCACCAACTACAAGAAGTTTACAATTATTTGGCCTCGTCAATGAAGAAGCTCTCAAGAATGCAACGTCGGAAACTTTAAGAGCTCTGAACCCAGATTTGCTTCCAGCTGTTATACTGGTCTGTAAAACAATTCAAGATATTCCAGTGATGAACACACTCAAGGTCCTTTTGGATAGTGGAAGCACTATGTGTTTGATTCACAAGCATTGCCTTCCACTAGGAACAGTCCCCTTCGTGGACCCAACAGTTTTGTTACAACAACAGCCCAAGGAAGCTTCAACACTTCCACCAAGTATGTCTTCATTTCAAACATACGGTTGCCAGAGTTTGGCAATCGAAAATACATAAAAGGGATCAATGCAAGGCTCTTCTCAGCTCCTTGTAACTAGTATGATGTGATCCTCGGAGGAGATTTCCTGCTTATGGCCAGGATAGATCTTTTCTTCTCCAAGCACACCACCACCATTAAATGGTTGGATTCATCTAGTATAGAGATGAAACCATTAGGTCATTTCACATTGCCAGATTCAGAATCCTGATTAAAAACTGGTGTATGTACTAAAATGGTCAAACATTAAAATATCATTATTTTTGATAGAGTTGTTGCTGCTTAAAGGTTGGGTAATAGTTTTACTAGCATTTTTATGCAGTACCGTACATGCTTCACAAAGTAAATTGGAAATTAATGAAGTTCCCTGGGGGAAATTTTTCTCATTCCTGCCGAGGATGGAATATGAGTTTTTGATGCGTTGCGCACCCCTCCTTGTTAATCTATGACCCCTACCTGAGTGCAACAGCGTAAGGTGCGTACTTGACGTATTTTGAGAACTCTTTCATCATCGGTTCAACCACATTCGATCGAGATCGATCGATAGGATCGCGATTGCCTCTCTTTCGTTGTCATAAAAGGACATTCACCACAAGTTGCACTAATTCCTAATTCCTTATCAAGTCCTTTCCAAGAGGCTGTTACGACATGGAGGCCCTAACAACGTCCCGTGGGTCTTGTGGTAGTTTCAACCATGCCGTTTCTCGTTCTAGCGAGTTGCTTTCTTGTGCGAAGACGGCGTGGAAGCTTCGGGAGCGAGAGCAGCTTCGTCTCGACCAACAAAAGGGAAATTTAGGCACCGGTGGACCACCCCCGCCGCCACCGCGCAACAATCCCAATCTTCGATTGGCTTCATCAGAGGGACCTCCTCCCACTTCTCTCGCCGTTTTAGACGACGGCTTTACGCTGTTAAGGGCAATGGACTATGGGACGAAGAAATTGCAAGCATTAGTGCGTAGACGAGGACATACAAACGACCCAACACACGAGATTGCCTCCCTCGTGAAGCAGTTGGAACAAGACTTGAAGGAGTTGACGAGTTATTGCAAACAACTTCTGATGATTCGACGTCGCAAACAAGAACAACGACACTGGGAGTTGGTTGTAGAGTGGTTCCAACAAGTTGCAAGTCGTAACTCGGGGCAGTTGCATGAATGCCTGAAACTCAGGGGGGAAATTTTGGCTGAACAAGCTCAAAAACATCGAAAACTTGTAGAAAGCAGTGGCGGCAACAAAAGCAAAACGAGCGTCCCCTCCAACGGCGTCAATCATGGTGCAGCTTCTGTAGCACCATCCATGTCGGCCACTGCTACTCCTTTGTTCGATAGTACACTTTTTACCTCACCAAAGGGATCTCAAAATACCTTAGGAAAAGACGAAGACGGAAAGTCCGATAGTTTGCGACAGAGGAATAAACGGCAACCAAATTCCAGAAAAACGCCTTCGGCTGCGCTAAATGGTTCTTCTTCGAATTACTATCGAGGAAATACCCCAGTTGGGCCTACTAGCGGCGGCTATGGTGCTGTATATGGCGGTGTTTCAGCCGGAGGATATGCTGGCTATGGTGGTGGTGGCTATGGCAGCAGTGGCATGCGACAACGGAGAGGAGGGACCTCTTACTCATCCTTGACCATACCGGCGGAAGAGCAGGAAGAGGAACAAAAGGTGCACTCGCAAATTCAAATGAGGGAACGGAAACGACAGACTCAGCAAAGGCTGGACGAAGCGCGGCAGGCCGAATCGACATTAAGTGAAGTTTCCAAGCTTTATAGCAAAATGTCAACATTGATCACCCAGCAAGGGGAAACCCTAGAAAAGATCGAAGATGACGTGGAATGTGCTTTGGTAGATGTCACAGCAGGCCAAGAGGAGTTAACGAAACTTTATGCTATCAAAAAGGGAAATCGGCCGCTCATTATAAAGACCTTTTTGATTCTGAACTTCCTCATAGTTTTTATGAGAGCCTACAGGGATAGGTAGCATACAGCCAGTACAAGTACGATGAAATAGAAAACTTCAGTTTACTCTAGAAGTTTGTAGCTATACCTGCATCAAATCGATCCTTTTCTATAGATTGCTGGTGATGGGAAGATGTGTTGAGATCCAGATGTTTTGAATTCAGAGAGCTTTCCCGTCTCAATACTATTGTGGGGTAGGAAAGGAAAAAGGGAAGATGTCTCTATTTTGAATTTCATCGTGTGCCTGCCAAATCGATCAGACGCACAAATTTCGTGCTACTGTTGAGGACGCCGTAGTTTTCTTCTTTGTTACCGATGTCGATTGGTACCCTCCACGAAGAGGTGGTGCTTTATCTCGTGGAAATTAGCCAGCACTTGAAGGCCCGAACTACTCATTCCGAGAAGTGGCATTTAAGCTAATTAATGCGACGAACGATTATTGGTGAAAAGATGTCGAAAGGGAGATGACGATTCTTTTGGAGACCCCTGGTTCTGTTTGATAGGAAACAAATTTTTCGGAGTTGGAACGCTTGTCATTCCAAGAGTGAAGTGACCAGAATCATTTGTCGCTGGAAGTGAGTTCTCATCCTCTTCCACTCCAAAGAAATTGTCGATCAGATGAACAACTTTCTTGTAGACAACATCACTTCTGTGCTTTTGAAGCTCCTCGATATAGTCAATCCCCCTATTTTCCGCAAATAAATCTAAATACTTCTGATGTGCTTTGAAGGCATTCTCGACAGCGTCGAGTACAGCAACCAAAAGTTTGACGTCAGAATTTTCTAGTGCCAGGAAAGTAATCAGCGGGTCAAATCCGTTTGCGCCAATCATCCATGAAATATCTGTGTAGCTTCCATTTGTCAAAATATATACTATGGCCCATAGCGCCTCCTTTCTCACGCTCCATTGATCATGTGTGGCCTTCACAACCAATTGGTGTAAAATCTTCTTTCTTTTCATCAGCTGTTGTATCTGATCGTGATTTCCGCATGCAATCATTGCAATGATCCCGCAGGAGTTCTTCCGAACTTCAGTTGACGAATTTCCTAAAAGATCTGCCAGGTGGTTGAGAAATCCGGAGTCTAGAACGATTTGCGTCTGACTATCGCTTCCTGACACCGCATTTCCAATTATTTGGATAATTGGCTTCTTGCACTTGAAATTAATCTCGAGGAGCTCGATCAATTTGCTCATTAATTTTCTCAAAAAGCACGGTGAAATGGGGAGTTCAGTATGCTGTTCGTCTTCGTTCGAAAGATACGAAAGCGCCCAAACCACATCTGTAGCGAGTTCTTCCATGGTTGATTTATCTAGCAGAACAAACACTAGATTATGAAAAATTTTTGTTCTAAAAGGTGCCAGCGATGTTGGATTTCCTTTGCATAGGTTGGATATAGCAAAAACGATGATTCCAAGATTTGAAGTGTTTTTCGGATCGGCCAAGTTTGTCAAACTACATCACAGAATTAAATCAACGAAGAGAATGTCATACAATGAGAAACGATGTGTTTCGAATATAAAAATACAACGCACAGTGCGTCGATAGAATACTTACAGTGGCTCAATGGCAGATCCATCCAATACTTGGTCTCGTAAAATGCTTCCTTCTCCAGCAATATTCCCCAAGCACCACGCAGATTGTTCTTTTATTTTCACATCGTTGTGTGACAAGAGCTGAATAAGAGGCTTGATTGCTCCTGAGTTTGCAACATGATTAGCGCTTGTTAAAGCAATATTAGTGAGTGCCCAGGCCGTCACGTAGATAAGCTTTCTCAGTTTGTCTTCCTGTACGGTGAATACTTTTGTACAAGTATTTGACGCTGCTTTGCACTTGTTACCACCTTTATCTACCAACCGACTGCATTCTTCCTTGGATTTTATGAGGCCTGAATTCCTGCGAATACCACAATCCAAAATATCAACGAGTAAAGGAACAATCCCAGCATTTATCATATTATCAATGTAAGGGGTAGGGGGTGTCGAACATAGTGAACGAACTTTTTCTATAGCTTCAATGACTTCCTGTTCCGTTGGGTTTGCAGATTGCAAAATGGTCTTGAAGTCTGAAATACAACTGATACTACTTTCGTGTGAGCTGGCTTTTCCTCTCTTTTTTCTGAAGTCCATGATCGGCTTTCTGATCATCAATGTCAGATTTGCTCGTTGTCGGTATTCTTTCTTGGTAGCAGCTTTTTGCTTAGATCGAGCCTTTCGGCAAATCGCTTCAAAGGGGAACAAGAAGTCATTGGGAAGCAGGAAACCTCTCATGGTTAGGTTGCACTCATGACGCACAACGGGCGAGTGCCGTAGACCCCTGGAGGAATGCGAAAACGCAGATGACTATTTGACACTCCCACTCACTTTTATGGTTCACTTTTATTGCCATCTTTATCCTATTGATAATTAAAATATTGCATCGATGTCGTTACACGAGCTTGTTTATTCTAGCGATAATTACAGTATTGTGACTTCCAAGCAAGCTGTTCCGAATACAGTAACCCACCAAATGTTTTGTTGGGTGGAAAGATTAAAACCTCGCTACGAGCGATTCCGTATCCGGGTTTCTACTAATCAGTCGTGATCAGTTTTTGGCAATGCCTTGGCGCCATCATTACAGTACTGTAATGAATCACGAGTGCTTATCATACGAGTACTCGACCATAACTGAATGTACGAGTGAAGTATCTACTTTACTTCGTAGAAGTATTCCTACTATCATTTTTATGAGTTAAGACGTTCGGATGAGTTTCTGGTACTTACGCGTAGATACTGGTGCTGGCCTGGTGTACCGTATGACATGATTTTTTGTTCGTATGAAATAGTATTTGTCGATTTTCGAGGTTTTTCATGAAACATGCATGGGACTCATTCAGCGATAACGTGACTCAAACAGAACGACTAAACAGGAACCATGTCGATTTCATTTTTTTGGAACAAAAATAGATTCCCATGCCCCCTCCTAGTACCGAAAATTGTGATCAGTTTTGATCACAAAAAATGTGACCAGAAATAACAAATTTGTGATCAATCTTGATCACGAATTTGAACTAATTTGTGTGCATTTTATAACTTACCTTTAATACGCTGATAGTCAATTTTATTTTCAGACATTCCCCCCTAATCAATTTTCATCAGGCCCCCAATGAGAGAACCTTCTGTAGAAAAGATTCCCCTGTCCCCCCTAAGAGTGAGAGCTTTGAGAGGCTCTATACATTTTCAAATACTGAACATTAGCCCAGTTTTTGGATATCAATGTGATCTTACCGTCTAGAGCTATTAATGGCAAGTCCTGTACTGGCAAGTTATTGGCAATTCCCGTGCAAATGCTAGTAGAAAAATTTAGCTCATTTTTACAGGTAAATACCGTTATTTTAACCGTCAGTGAAATAAAAACAGTTAAAAATGACTTCTGAAAAAATTCTGGCGCGGAGAATGGCTGAGGGCCGCGCCAGGATTTATTCAGGAACTGAACCCATTTCACCCATTGCTTTGCCTGRTTTTTTTTAGAATTCGAATTTCATAATTTCAAAACTGAGCAGTTTAAAACTGAGCATCCATTCGTAATCTGTAGTATCAGCATACTCCGTAGTAACAGCAACTTGTATCAGCGACTTGTATCAGCATGATAATTGTCCGTATCAGCGGCTCGTATCAGCGGATGCTCTGTATCAGCATCCTTGTATCAGCGGATCCTCGTATCAGCATCCTCGTATCAGCGGACACCGTATCAGTGAGCGTCCTCCGTAACAGTAGCTCCTACTATGTATCAACAATCCTCTGTATCTCCGTATCAGTGACTTGTATCAGCGGGGAGCCTCCTATCAGAATCCGGCTCCTCCGCATCATCGTATCAGTACCTCATAAATTGGTTGATTGTTGCTTTCTTGGAAAAACCAATGTTAAACTGGTCTTGTACTAGTACAAAATCATCCAGAAATGGCAGTCCTTTGAAGATCCGCCCTTGAAATAACTTGAATACAGAGATCTGCACTTGATTGAGTATCGCAGACCGCAAATACGGAGATCCGCAACAACGCAAATAACAACGGCAAATAACTTGAATACGGAGATCCGCCACGCCGGTCCCTTGGGTATGAGACAGTTAATCGCCATTTCACTTGAGTATCGAAGCCTCCGCACGTCGGTCCCTTGAGTATGAGACAGTTAATCGCCGTTTCCCTTGAGTATCGAAGCCTCCGCACGTCGGTCCCTTGAGTATGAAACAGTTAATCGCCATTTCGCTTGAGTATCAAAGCCTCCACACGCTGAACCCTTGAGTATGAGACAGTTAATCGCCGTTTCGCTTGAGTATCAAAGCCTCCACANCCCTTGAGTATGAGACAGTTAATCGCCGTTTCGCTTGAGTATCAAAGCCTCCACATGCCGAACCCTTGAGTATGATACAGTTAATCGCCGTTTCGCTTGAGTATCCACAAACGAAAGAGCCGTTTGCTTGAGTATCCGCAAACGAAAGAGCCGTTTGCTTGAGTATCGAAGCGTCCGCACGCCAGTTCCTTGAGTATCGAAGCGTCCGCACACCAGTCCCTTGAGTATGAATGAACGCTTGCAGTTGATTGCGGTTGAGTATGAATGAACGCTTGCTTGCGGAGGATTATGAATGAGGCGATTTGCTCGTATTTGCTTGTATTTTCGCGTTGGTGGAGGTGCAGCATTGGATGGAGGTGCCTCAGTACTGATTCGCTGTAGCAAATATGTAAGTAGATTACGTAGGATTAATACTACAGTACTGAATGTACAGGGGGTACATGCGCATGACAGGCAAGCCAGCCGGCCCTGGAGGTTCGGAATTGCCAATAACTTGCCAGTACGGGACTTGCCATTAATAGCTCTATTGGGTGATTCCCGCAAACATATTAATATGTAAAAATGAGACCGGCCGGCTCGAAAAAATATGTAAATTACATAGATTTTGGTTGTCGTGGGCCCACGACAACCAGAATCTGTGTAATTTACATATTTTTTGTTYGGAATCCTTGACTCAACACTTCCAGTCTCRGGAGGAGAGGTTTAGTGAAAATCCCAAAGTTCCCSMCACWTTGGAATTTTGTCAAATTGCATGCAATTTATAGGATTCCAAATTCCGAAAATGGGGGGAAAATATGTAAGTTGAGCTGGCAGTCTGTGTCTTCTGTACCACTGAAACGTATTCCCGAAAACATATCACGTAATATGTTTGCGGGAATCACCCATTACCGTCAGCTTGTTTCTAGATGGCATTTAATAACCCCTAGTGCAGATAATTTTACATTTTGAGATACTTTACGCATTATATCAGGGCATACGGAATTATCAAGCTGCGGAGTTTCTGACTCTGAAAGCTAATCTCTCCTGTGGTTTTCTACCTACGGAGGAAAAATGTCTAGTAGAATTGCCTACGTAAGAGTACTCTAAATATGACGGTATCGGTATCTGCCTGTCATCAGGCCATGTCAGGGACGAAAAAAACTCGTTCAAAACTCGGGCGTTGGAATCAATCTTATTTTTGTCACGCTCTATCTTTTTCGGAATGCTCGCCTCCCATAAACAATTCTCACGGTTATGGGTTGCATTGAATCTTCTTTCTATTCCTCGAAAGGCACCAAAGTGACTTTGAATCGCAGTACAAAGAAAATTCAATTCTCTTTCGTGACGTTCCTTGCCCTCTGTGCTGCCGCACCAGTAGCATTTGGCGACAGCCCGGATCCAGGTTCTTCTCTCTTCTCTTCTTCGGACAAAGACGAAGTTGCCTCTTCCTTGCGTGTCGGCTTAGACGTTTCGTCCGCATCGAATGCCAGTCTCGGTTCTGACGATCCAACCGATTCCCTTGCCACCAGGGTCGATTCTAGCCTTCACGCCAACAATGCTAATGGCAGGAATTTGGCACCGAAAATTAGCAAATATGACTCTCACGTGAAGATTCTCCATATGGGTGATTCTTACTCCTCAGGTAATGGTGCGAACGGTCTGTCATACTTATCGGTTGGGCCCAAATGGTGTTTTCGCCATGACACCAACTGGGGTAGGCAAGCCACGGATATCCTCAGGTCGAGTTTTGAACATCCTGATGCTCTCCTTTACATTAATAGGGCATGCGCTGGATCAAAGATCAAACATCTTTACGAAGATTATCTTCTCCTTGAGAACGATGGCGAACATGTAAACAAAGGGGAGTGCAAAGAATATCTGCCTGAAATGAGGCTCGAAAAAACAGAATTCCCGTGGCCGTTTGCGGACCATTGTTGTAATATAATGCGTCCTCAACTTGACGAAGTTTCCAATGATGTGGATCTAGGTATGATTTACGTTTTGTTTGAATTGAGTTCGTTTTCATCAATGAATATGAGTTTTACTTACGAATAAAAAATTGAATTTGCTTCTGCTTCTTTTCAGTATTGATTACTACCGGTGGCAACGATGCAAAGTTTGGTGACATCGTGAGGGATTGCATCCTCGTATATACGGGCCGGAACAAGGAAAAATGCGAAACCTCAATTGCAGCTGTCAAAAACTTCATTAACGATGATTACATCAATATGATGTACAACGCGATGGAACAGCTTTTCGACAAACTGAAACCAGAAGCAAGGGTTGTTATCGGTGCATATCCATACTTGACCGTGACCCCAGAGCAAGAGGGCACTACCTCCGGTTTTGAAGATACGAGATGGGCAAATACATTGATTCGAGACGTGGTAGCTCTTGCCAACGAGAAACAAAAAGAAGTTGTTGATAAATTGAATAGGAAATTGCAAACCGATGCGTTTCACTTCTTCGCTGAATCTACCGAGATCTTTGATACTCACGAAGCAATGACCACCACTCTCCAACAAAATCCTGATGGATTTTTGGTAGAAATGGATGCATCGGCCTTGCTTTGTTCTGGATTAAGTTTGGAATGCCAAAAGGTGAGGAAGACGTTCGCATTTGGTTTTTCTTTCATCACTTTTCAAATTTTCTTCACTGAAGTACACCTTATCCCAATCTTTTCTCATGCCTTTTCACGCAGCAATTATATCATCCAAATGAGAGAGGTCACACTAGTTTGGGAATTGGAATGTCTAATTTCTTGAAAAATCAAGTACTGCCGAAGTTGCTAACGGAAAGACGCAAGAGAAGGGATCGTTCCAGTGCTAAGTATCCCGATAGTTCTTTTGATTTTGCATTGCTCATCGATACTACGCTATCGGAAGAAGCATTGAAGGGGACCAAGGACGCTATCAAGGCCGTCAGTAGCACTCTTTCCGCCATCACCGAGAGCTGGCGTTTTGGCATTTTGTCCTATGGGTGTGAAGACGGAGACACAAAATTTCTTCAAGAATTTACCAATGATCCTAACGAGCTCAAGAAGGCAATTGGATCTGTGAAATCCAAAACTTGTGAAACAGGTTCTTTGTTACTTTCTGGTCTCGACAAAGTCTTCTCCCATTTGCCTTGGCGTGATGGTGTCACCTCCAATGTAATCGTTCTGGCTGGTACGGAGCCAGACGATAATTCTATTTCAGATCTCGAAGCTTCAGTTAACCTAATCGAAGATCTTGGAGTGGTAATCGATGTTGTCGCATTCTGGGGTGTTGATCCAGGACATATTATCTTCAAAAATTTGCTGAGTTCGTCTACGAGGAAGACTACGACGGGCATGTCAACCTTGAAGTGAAAACTGCCGACGGTCGTGTCAGCAACAAAATTTCAGTCCCCATCACTGTGAACGAATTTGGACTACCCGAAGGATATTGCGACGAGGACCCAGCCGCACATGAAAGGTGCGGTGCAACTGAGACTTTACCGACCGCTGCACCAACCAAAGTTACCAAAAAAGGAAAAAATACCAAACAAAACAAACCTACGAAAAAGCCAAAGGGCAGCAAGAAGTAATGTCCCGAATCTGAGAGTGAGTCGGCACTCCAAGGTTGCTGAGGATGAGAGAGGTCCCCTTTGTGATGCAACCAAGCTCGTGCCGAAAGTCCGTTCCATTCAAGAGAGTTGCCTGTGTTCTCTGTGCTGTTGAGAAGAACGAGATTGGAGGTGTTCTCGCATTGCCGAAGCAGCTTTCAGCTGGTTGGTTAGTGATCATCGTTGTTGGTTCATTGATTAGATTAGCTGTCAATGTCTCTTCGTTTTTGTCTGCTGTCGTTTTGTACAGCGACAGTGACACTGGCGTCAACACTTTGTTCTTTGATGGAGATAGTCGTCATTACTGTTCGTCCTCATTCCCTAATAGCGAAAAAAAAAGTATACATGTTTTGTCAAAACGGCTTGATTGCCTCATGATTTGCACCAACTCAGTAGCTGACAAGGGACCAACGCGGGTTGTCAATGACATCCATACGATTGTAAAATACTGCGGAAAACTCCTCATATTGCGTCCGTCGTCATGTGAGTGTTTGACTGTTCTGTGCGACCGTTGTAGCCGAGAATATTGCCTGGTGGGCAATGTTCACGTTGTTTCTCTTTGTTTTAGCACCACCAGAGTGAATATAGTCAGGGCACTATTCTCTCTGTTTTTACATGGTGAAATGATGGGGGCAGTTCTCCTTCATATAAAGAGAAACAAAGAGTATATTGCCTCTCCTTGTTTCTCTTTGATTTGTTGATTTTTTTACAAAGAGAACAAACAACAAAGATAATATTGCCTGGGCAATACTACTACCACTCTCTTTGTTTAAACATGGAAAAAAGAACCTATGTTGGGAAACCCTGATCTTGTTTGGCAAGGCTTCCTCAAAAACTAATGGAGGGCCCAGAATGAAAAAATGTTGGAAACTGCCATACAGACAAAATAAAAATGTTTCGATTGTATAATTTCTTGCTGGCTCTAATACTAGTAGTGGTATCCAGTAGTAGCAACAGGTGAATGAATTTTTGAAGTATTAACCTCTCATATTGTATCCTCAGTACCACTTCTAGTAAGGTATTCTAATAGAAATATTCATGGGCTTGTAGTTTTTTTTGTGGAGGGGGGAAAGGAGAAATGGAGACAGGTGAAAAATTATCACCATGGTGGTGATGAATTTTATTGGAAGGGTGTCATAACCTGTGGGAGTGACTGTCCTAAAAGAGATGTAAAGTGTGTGCTAKTAGAAAAGTGAGTCGATGCTCTTATCGAGGATCGACGAACTATGAAATCTAGAATGGATCGCTGTGGGGATCGAGTGAGGTGTGAATCGAATGAGTYDAGTCACTCACGCAAGTGAATGAAATGAGTCATGTCGATCATATGAATCCTAGGGGATCGCGTGAGTCATATATGTATGGTGTGTATGAATCGTAGATACGTATCGTATGTATGTGTCGTATGTATGAATCATACCCATGGTCTGATATCCTACGGACAACAACAGGAAAATAAAAAAGATTGAAAGCCATAATATTGCCAATGACTTGACAGCATAGGGCACTATGACTTTGGCTGCACAAACATTCTGTACTTGGACTACTGGTGCTTTGCAAGGTGGGATTTCCAATGGTGTATTAGTCCTCATTGGTGGGCTGCAAGTACTACTACTATTGAAGTCAATGAGTGTCCATTGTGGGACTGGAAGGCTTTGAGTCTAACTAGTCAGTACACAGTAAAAAGATGGCCCATTATCCACACACCGTGTAAATTAGCTACTAGTAACTGTATACTAGTAGTAACTGTTTTGCCAGCAGTCTTGAACTGACCCACAGTTTGGGTTGTTGTAACTTCTTCTTCTTTGTCCACAACAGACACATAACAAGAAGAAGAAGAAGCATATGGTTAAAAGAAGAATGATTAAAAGAGCTTTCTAATGGCGTGGGGGTGTAGGGGGTTCAGAGAAGTATTCATCAATATAGTAGGTGTATGTATATCCAGCATTGGTACTACTAGTACTAATGTACGACTGGGTCGTCTTTTTTTGCTTGGCCGAGCCTTTGACATGTGTTAAATTTTCGGTCTGTCTGTCTATCAAAAGTAGCAATTATATTTCTATCAACGGGAATGGCCCATTACGTAAGCTATGGATCGTTGGTGAGAGGCCTACCGGTGCATAAAATCTGAGCGAGTCCGTACTCACAGCCTCAGTGTATCCGAAGGGAAGGAAGAGTGAAGCAAATGCAGCCTTTTGCCTTGAATTTGTTCTTCATTGGAAATTCTAAATGATCGTTTTGAAAGTTTATTTGGTGTTAGTGTAGCGTCCACGAGACATGGCGAAGTCTCTAGTTAGGAAAAAAAAACAAAAAAACGGAAGAGGCACCAACCAAAGGAACGAAGAGTTCATAGGAGTATCGAGTACTGTATGCTTTCTTCGATTTAGAACAGCCGTCGCAATCCTGATAAGTGGCGTATTTGTCTATACCCTGAGTGTCTTGAATGTAGCTGTCAAAGTCCATCGATTGGAACATACTGATAACATCTGGTTAGAGAAAACGCAAGGTCGCCATGCGGGGAATGCATTTGCGTCTGACCATCGAACGAACGAGAAGAAGCAGAAGGAGGAGCATAAGCTCGATGGTAAAATAGAATTTAATGACTCCGCAAAGCACGAAGAGGGAATTGATAGCGATGTGATAGCGAGGGAAATCCAACAAGTATTAGAGGAACAGGAAACCGTAGACACATCAGATAACGATGAACCGAAACCGACAATGAAAAGACCATCCTACAGAGCAAATCCGCATGGATATATGGTATCACCAGAAATCATACTTGGAGCAAACAAATCTACGACTAGTAGTAACGAACAAAATACGCTTCTTCGAAAGATTCCCGATCATCAAACCTTGAGGGCTTTTGTCGAAAATGTAGATCGCTCGACGTGGAACTCGAAACCTTTACCCACAAGGAATGTCAAGGCAGAAGATTTGATCAAGATTTCATTCACCAGATTGAATTCATGTTCAAAATTACCGGAACAATGGCCAGTAGACGATTATCCAGATGCAGATCCTTTTTTACCTTGGATCCATGATGTCTTCCCAACGGATGATGGCAAGTTCATTCAGTTTGTTGCACAAAACAAAAGACGATGTCACACTGGAACAACACCGGACGAAAAAACGATATTAGAATACACTGCACCTCAAGTGGCACTTTTTCAGCACGTCCCACTCAAAAAGCTGAAAAGCTCAACAAAAGAAACCCCGAGATACCGACTGAGTTCCCACGAAGATGCCGATCCAGAAAGCATCAACACGCGTTTTATCTGCCGCTTTAAACCTTCTGGAGACATCACTTTTTCAGAGTTTAACAATGATTATGAATGGGCTGCGACTCGAAAAAGACAAAAAGTAATGTTTCATGAAGATGGGAGAGATAACAACCAAATACATTCATCGCAATTGCTCTTCAAATGCCCTGTTCCTGACCATCTCATAGAACAGGTAAAGACGGGCGGGACTGTTGTAGACGATTGGGCGACTATCTTCGTCGACTTGATACCTGTCAGAACACCGCCAAGATATGGTCCTCCACACAGATTCTTAGTGCCTTATTATGCGAAATCGAATCATGCAACATCGAAAACGAAGAATCGAACAGATGTTCTTTTTGACCCTAAAACAGAATGGGGCGAGGATCACATCTTACCAAAAATTGAAGACTCGGGAAGATGGGAAAACATACCGGTATGTAAACCATCTCTAATGACATACGAGCCTCGAGCCCTAGAAGGACCCAAGAGTAACGAGAAAATAAAGCACAATTTGATATCCTGTCTATGGGCTAGTACAGGCTACGCAACTCGGGGAAACAGATATGCCATCAATGACGGCCAAAGAAGAATGATTGAATGGATAACCTTTAATAAAATGCTCGGGTTTGGTAAGCATGAAGGTTCAAGTTCGCGGGCTACTTGCGATATTTTTAACGGAGCTATTTTTTCAATTTCAAACTCGATTTTCCGGAATCGGAGTAGGTATTCTACTCAGTCATTCTTAGTGTTGTGGAAGACTCACTTATATTAATCTTTTTTCGTGTTTGTTGATTTTTGTTATCCAAAGATCACTTTTACGTCTACGATAATTCTGGTGCATTCTCGAATCAAAGCTCTTTAGAACCTGTAGCAGATATCTTTCCAGATGACGTTACCGTTATTAAGTGGCCATCCCGCATTTGCAACAATAATCCTAACAATGTGGATAGCGTTGGCGAGCGATCTTCGCAGTATGCAGCAGAAGCGTCCTGTCGACTTCGATTCGGTTCTCATGTGAATTGGATTGGTCAATTTGATATCGATGAGTATCTTATTCCGATGGGAAATTACACTCGCATCACGCCCTTGCTAAAAAAATTGGATGATGAAGGAACAAAAATTATAAGTTTCGCATCATGGAGAGCTTGGCCAAGGCGAACTCATATCAAGTGAGTGCTCGTGTGCATGTCCACGTTAGTTCTTGTCTCGGTTAACTTCCTACCCCTTCCATGGTTCCATCGTATCACTCTAACAACAAAAAAAATATTGTGATTTTCCGAATGAAAATGTTCGCACATGGATTTTTGGGCATTCTCCTCGATATCGTTTATCCCGACAATCTAGCGATCCCGAGGTGACCACTTTCAAAAATGACGTGAAAATGTGTCGTAGAAATAGTGAATGCTTTGAGCTTTCGGTAAGGAAGGACACAACAATAATGGAAGCTTACAACTGTGATAGGCAGAGGCCAGGAGCAAAGAGTTCAACTATGCCGGCTGAAAAGCAGCTTTATAGACCAGATTAGTAAGTAATTGATATCTACTCCTTCAAATCAAGGCCATGTATCGTCTTGACTCTGCTTGATCACTTCTTATTGAGTTTATTCTGACCGAGAATCTTTGCTGTGAAACGAATTGACCCTTTTTCTCATTTCTTTTCTACAATGCAATACAAAATAAAAAGTGTAACACAACATTTCATTCATTATTCTACAATCACCGAGTCCACAAATTTGCTACCAAAAGAATTTCAAGAGAAATTCAAGGGGCAACGCCCCTTCCCCGATCCATTGTCGCGCTTTGGAGATGAGGTGAATGAGGGTCTCATGTTGCATAGCAAGTCAGTTGCACGACAAGACACAGCGGGCTGGAAATTGAATTGTCGTGAAGACCGAAAGGGTTTTGATCAGTGTCGCATTGGTTTCCCATGGCCAGAAGATGGTTCCAATGCTACGGCTGACAAAAATGGGTGGGCATACAACTGTTATGTCAATCCTCGGATTGACAATTACTTCGCACCAAAGGTCAAGGCTAAGCTCAAAGAGATGGGCCTCATGGAAAGTGAGTAATAACATTAACCAGGGCAAGAGCCTAGGTTACTCTACCTTATGGATACATAGAAATGAGAAATACAAATTTTTGTTCTACTTGCACCTTTGAGGCTTGATCATGAGTAGCTAGTTAGTAGCAATCTTACTTTTTATTGCAGATATATCATTTTATGATACTAGAGGATGCATACTGCATTTCCTAGGGATGGGCTGGTCTTTGACGCATACTCCAAGAAGAAACGACACAAATCCTCTGCTTCACCAAAGATTTCTTTGGTCTCTGCCACGATCAAACATACAATTCAAACTACCTTGAGCAAATATCTAACATAATCCTCCAGCCCAACGATCAACCCGGTTGTGCTTCCACAAGAACTCCTTGGAGGGAAGTGCCACCCCTCGGCGTGACTAGAATCATACTTTTTCCATCAAAAGCTATGTTTTTGGCCATATAGTGCCTCTTCTAGTCCACAAGGTTAAATATAATATTTAGATTTTTCACATTTCCCAGGTCAGCAGGAGGAGTGACAAGCAGCTTACCTCATCTAATTCATAAAATGGAGGAAGATTTGCAACTCTCCTTATATCTGCAAAGCATGCAACATTTGATTTCCTTCACACAAACAAATTAAAATCTAGAATAAGATATTCTCTGCTCTCCCTTCCTTACAACACCAGACAGGTCTGATTTTATACAGAAATCAACACTTCCCATCAACTTAGCTATCCTGGCAATATTGACACCATGAAGAAATTGCAACCATAAAAGTGAACAAACAATAAAAGAAGTGCACACAACCACAAGTATTCATTAAAATGACAACATCAGCAACTCAAAATTGATTGACAAATTCCTCTCCCAATCACAAATGACTGGAAGATATAACCCCAACCATTGTCTCCAACTGGAAATGTGTGAATACAGCATCAGTATTGCATGTGAAATGAGAGCCATGTAACTAATATTCTCTGCCAGTTCCACTAGTATTGCTATCATACAATATGACTGCAAACTGGTCTACTTCAAACCACTACTACTAGTAGTACCTCATCCAGTCCACCATGAGTTTCATTACAACCATTTTTTGCTAGTCCTCCTCAAAGAGTGCCCCCCATCTTACTTCACACTTCTTGCAGTCAAATTCTAGCAATAACTGTGTAAAACATGTTGAATCAGTACTACCACTGACAAAGAAATTGCGTGCAAATCATGACCAAGAATCATTTTATTTTTCTCTCATGAAAATGCACTGTATTGATACAGCAAACTAAAGTTTGCAATGACAATTAAAATGACAATGATACAACAGTGCACCTCTTTGGAACAAGAATTACCAATACAAGAAAGCAAGCTGTACTGAAAATAAATATAGCCTTGAAAATTTTTCACTCTTAGCTGTCATATGGAATTAGGAGCAAATCAAAATAACTGTTGAAGGCAACTGACTGTATTATCATATTCATATGAAAAAATCACCTGTTTGAAAGGCTTATTTCTTCTTGATCACAACTGGTTTAACACTAACAGGCACAAAACATAAAAAAGTATTAAATGAGATCAATAGAATAAAAAGGAACCATCAAAATTAGCCAAATATTGATCTTATTTTGCTAGAAAAGGTAAAAAATGGACACTCATAGTAGTGGTCAGGAGGAAGTAGCATACAAGCCATCCCCCACAAGTAACCTGCACCACTACTAGTATCTCAGCATTGTCCATAGCATGGAACTCATTGACACAGACAAAATAGCACTCCTGGGCTACAACAACATGGAGGACCTCATCCAACACTGTCATTTCTGTCAATCATGGACTACCAAATGAAATTTCTCCATGTGGTGATACTACCATTGAAGCCAGGCCTTAACCAATAAAATAGAATCACTTCTACCCCCACACCACCAAGACATCAAAATCAGCTACCCTGACATTTAAGATCTAAGCACAATGTCTATTGGACTCAAGCCCAGATGGTAGTGGCAGCACTAAGACCATTGCCTTGGAGAATAGATCTCCAATGTCAGACTTGAAGGATTGAATCCTAAAAGTACTATGTTGCCTTTGAACATCTTATACTACTCAACACCACCCAAGCCTTGAACCAAAAACTGGAGAACACTGAACATCAAGAAACTGACATTGCTACCCTAATTAGTACTGCTCACAAAGAAAGTAGTGCAGTACTAGCAGGAATTGAATTTCTTATCTGCTGTAAGATACAGATGGTTGATGATTCTATCTCACCAGTCACAATGGCTCTCAAAAATGTACAGTTTCCAATTGGCTTCACAGGGACTCTGTCATTCTTTGCTCCTTCTTCTAGACCTTGTGATGATTTCTGATGGATTTTGCAAAAGTGTCTCAATGACTTTTGGTTGTTCTATTGCAGATGGCAAAGGCACAAGGATTGCCCATGCCATTGGTCCATGTTTTGGAATTGAAAGTTTCTTACATGCTGAAGCTACAGGTTTACTTTCTGCTCTGGCTTTTGCATACCAAGACAAAAGTATTGCCTTTCACAAATTGTCTCTGAAAGCACAGTTGAATATCAAAGAAGCCAATGTGCTGTACACTGGTGAATATCATGCTAAGTCTCCCAACCCTCTACTCATCACTCTGGTTCTTCCAGCATGCCCAGCAGTTCTCCAAATCCAAAGTAGCTCAATGACCACCAGTCACCACTATAGAGCAGCTCTGACAGATTCCTATCTTGTTCCATGATATCCTTCATATGTATTGTGTAGTATGGACATCCAAAAAAACAATTAAATCATTGAATTGTAATGCTATACATTCCTACACATATGGATCAGTATCCTCACTAGGACCCTCCCACTCCCCCATACAACTAGAATCCTGTTTAAATTTCTTTTTTGGGCTGATTCATGTGCCTATCACTCTTATCCAACCATTGGGGACCAAGATACAGCTTAAACTGTCAGTTCACTATTAAAACAGTTAATGATTTTGGGCTTTCATTTTACTGTGTAATGACTTGTGTGATTAAAATTTGGACTTGTAGTAACATGTGTAAAAGTTGAAAGGAGCACATGCACGGGAAACTTCTATGCATGAGAATAAAAATTGAGCACATGCCCCTTTGTACACTGTAGTACAAATCAGTTTCTTAGTCAAAATGAAATTGGAACAACCTTCCACCCACTCCTGCTACAGTGTTGTGCCAATAAAAGTACCAAACCCACAACACCTGTTGCCTTTATAATCAGCCAGAGACACGGTACCATCTTTTTCCATGCTCACATGGCACATGGTTCCAATGGCAAAGGGCAGCTGTTTGATCTTTGCACCAGTGTTGCACCAATAGAAGTACCAAACCCACAATATTGTTTGCCTTGCAATCAGCCTGAGACATGGTACCATCTTTTTCCATGTTCACATGCCACACACCAGTTCCAATGGTAAAGGGAAGCTGTTTGATCTTTGCAGTAATGGATGAAGTCACTGAGTCTCAGAACACTTGCCACTGATACTTTTGCCAGTTGTATTGCTGAATAGTTCAAAACTGGTCATGTTTCTCCAGACAAGAAGTATCCCAAATCTCTTCACCCAGTCATTCATTTCCAATCCAAAATTGGTCAGCAACACCTGTTTATAGGATACCTCTCCCAACATTGGATTATTGATCCTGATCCCCACTCAAGTAATTATTCTGAAGATGTGATAGGAAGTTAGTACTGCGTGGTGGAGTTCTTTTTGAGTGCATATTTTTCCTTATGGGATTTAGTGTGCATTATAGACCTTCATGGTCACTCCATGCCCCCAAAACAACCCCTTGAACAAGAACACATAAAGTTCTCAAAGAAGCAGAAATGATTTAAACAAATGTAATGCCAAACATGTCTTTGGCAGCTCCTATTGTTCCTTCCCATCTACTCCAGACTATGGTGTTATGTAAATTTCAATGAATGTTATTGATTCTGATCTTGACAATGATGCGCCCACATTCAACTCTGCTGAATGCACCCAAGATACAGCAGAAGAGAATACAAATAATACCCCCTCAGCAACCAGGTTTTTTTCTGCTCCAACCAAAGTCAAAATAAAACTAATGATGATCATGAGAGACCACAATATAAGGTTAGTCACCAAGAGGAAACTTTACAAATGGGCAATTGAATCCAAGAGTTTACCTGGATTCACTTGGAGCGCTGGTAACTGTTTATCATTGACCCAACAAAAGGTTTTGGAGGAATGCTACAAAATAGCTCCCAAACAAGGCAGTGATCATTTTGAACCACATCTTATCAATTGGCAATCAAGCAACGGTGTTGGTCACAAACAAATATACGTGAGGTTAATACAATGTGCTCTACATTCCCTTCTTACTAATGTGTCTTTGATCAAGGAAGAGAATCTTTCCTTTCCCAACCAAAGATGCCCTACCTCACCCCAGCATGACCCTGAACTCACAGAAGACACTCTTATTTGCAAACTCAATAACGGGCAATGATGGTTGGAAACATGGAAGGATAAGTGTGTCCCAAATGAGAACAAGATTCTAGTTCCAATTATATTTTATATGGATGGCATTGTTATTGATAGACATAGAAGTGCAACCCTATGCTGTCTGAACATGACTCTGGGAATATTCAATGATTATATGCATTCTACCAGGCCCAATGCTTGGGAGACAATATACTTCCATCCCCAGGAAAAAAGCAACCAATCTGTAGACAATGTCAATAATCTCCATGATGGTTTATGTGCTACTCTTGCCTCTTTCAAAGAAGTGTGTGAGTCCTCCCATGCTATTGAATAGAAAAATTGCCCATGGAATGGGAAGCTTCTTTTCAATGATAAAATGAAGTTTGCTGTAGCATTTTTCGCTAGTGACACCAAACAGCACGACAACCTCTGCAGCCATTACACATCCGCAAACACTAGAATGATATGCAGACATTGTAGCTGTCCCTGAGCCCTTGGAATCAACACAAATGTTAAGGTTCTGAATGCATCTGTTTTGGAGGAGTTCAAGGCACTGGTGGAAGCCCGTGCAGGGAATGAATGTGTCACAGACACATTGGATGATAAAATTGACCAAGAGACTGACAAATGTTCTCGGTACAAGAGGTTGAAAATATCACCAGACAGTCCCACACTGTTTTTGCCCCCTCTCTGGTTGTGGCATCCTTCAGATTTCAAGGAGTCAACTGTTCCTGAAGGAGTATCCTGCGGACATCATTGTCAAAATATCTCTCATCATAGCATCCAACGTGGAAATGCCTTTCACAAGCTTGACTTTGGTGTGAATTTGTGTAACAGTTGCCTCGCTTCTCCTGGGGAGAGACTTCATATGCACCAATTAGGCTGTGCAAAAAGAGCCACTGAAACCTTCTGTGATGTGTTTCTTGGAACAACGAAGAAGCTCCTTGATAGTATGGATGCAATAGCCAACTACGACAGATCATCACTCCAGAGGTAGTCTGATTGCAACTTTCCCCATACCAATTTTTTGAAGTCTATCCACACTACAAAGAAGGAGGGTACCCATTTTAGTGGAATGCTGTTAGTACTGCAGATCCTCTGCTTGCTGTCAAAGGAAGGTTGCGGGCTACTCATAAATTGTCAATCAGAAGACATGATAGATGAGCGTATTTATGCATTGGAACTCATATTGGGCTCGGAAGAATTCTTGAAGTGGTCCAGCAGTACCACATGGGATATATTTGGTACTGAACTTTCTGTCAACAAAGGCTCTGCCAACAATGATTCCAACAATCAAAATTTGGAAGATGTTTTTAGGTACCCAAAAGGGATTTCCGAAGCTTTCAACTTGGACAAGATGGTTGTTCATTTCCTTAACAACATCAACAATTACCTCACGTGGACAGATGGAATGGGCAACAATCTTATATAGAACCACATGTATTTTCATCTGTCCCAATACATCTGGCTCTACAGCCCTCATTCTGGATGGGACGATTCCTCCTGGAGCGAGAGCAACCATAAGACGGAAGTGAAAGCTCCTGCCAAAAGAACATCCCAAACCTCCAGGTCTTTAATCAAACAAATGTCACATGGAATATGGCACAATTGATCGACTTCACCTTGAGTTTGACTATCAGTACAACCAGGTATAAATCTCCAGTCTTCTAAACTGAGGGGTGGCTCTTCGTTTACAATTGGAAAAAGAGACGATACAGGTTTACTGTACTAGTACATGATGAGATAGTAGGATTCAAAGGACAACCAACATAGAAATCTCCCCTGGTTACGTCCAGTAGACATGTAATTTTCATATGCAAAAATAATTTTTATTTACAGCATGCTTATTAGTCTCTACTAGTACCAATTCTGCTACTACACATTCTAGTACAAAGTCATTCCTTAAATTCAATAGTGAAACCTTTAAGTCGTAAATGGGGGGCACTCTTTGGATACAGGATGGACAGCCAAAACCGTCACAAGGTACATATTTTTCTGGACAGAGGAAGTAGTACGTCACAGTACCTAGTTGATGTACATAGGAAACAAAACCTCCTGCTACTACTACTACTAGTGTAAATTTCATGACTAAACCAAACCATTCAGTCACGAAATAATCCAACCTGATTGCTTGATTCTTACCGAACAATAGTCTTATCCCTAACTCTAAATTAATTCTGAACTCGTCATTGAATGACCAAAATGGGCGTTCAAAACAACTCTGGTCCGTTACTGTACCAAACTGTACGTTCCAAAACTAGAGCTTAGTACGAGTATCCCGCATGCACGCTACGTATTCGTACGAGTAATCGTACTCTCACTAAACCGTCGAGAAATATGAAAAAGCAAAGAGCACTTTTTGTCTTTGTCACCTTTCACACGAACGATAGGACGACACTTCGGTTCTTTCTGCACAACGTGTCCACCAATACCGTTCTTTCCGACTTGCCTCTATTTGCATATCAATCAGAAAGGTATAATTATGGGACTGCCAAGAGTGAGGAAAAAAATTGGCCGAAAGAGCCACCCTTCCAAAAAGCGGATGGTTTCTTTGTCGTCGGTTATCCTTTTTGTTCTGGTTGCGCTGGTGTGTTTTTACGTTCTTATGATGTGCCTGATCGCCAACCACACCAAAAGTATTGCAGCTCCTGGCGAATCCTCAACTGCAAAAAGGAAGGGCGATGCTAAACATCACATTCCTGACCAGCAAAAGAATCCTCACAAAAACAAAGGAGACCGTGTTTTGACTGCCTTCGTGGAGCCTATCGACAGGTCACAGTGGCAGCAAAAGCCACTTCCAAAGAGAACGTCCACGGCGAAAGATTTGAAGGCGAAACGCTTTCCGAAAGTCAATTCTTGTAGTAATCTCATAGAACAATGGCCGGCCGACGAGTACCCGGACGAAGACCCTTTTTTACCTTGGATTCATGACGTTTTCCCATCACACGATGGGAAAGTCATTCAGATAGTGGCCCAAAATAGAAGACGGTGCAACACTGGTAAAAGTCCAGAGAACAAGGAGATTCACTGGAAGAGGGGACCGCAGCTATCATTGTTTCAGAATGTAGCTGTCAAAAGGGTAAGCGACCCTGATTCTAGTACAAAAACTCGATATCGACTTTCATCACACGAAGAAGCTGACGAGGACGGAGTTGCAACACGATTCATATGCCGATTTTCAAATGGGGAAGAAACGCTTTCGGTGTTCAACTTCGACTATGAATGGGCATCATTCCGCAAAAAGCAGGCTCAAATCTTCCATGAGAATGACAGCGACAATAAACAAATACACACATCGCAGCTTCTATTCCGCTGCCCTGTACCCGAAAGCTTAGTCGACACTGTGCGAACGGGCTCATCGGTAATAGACGACTTTGCAACAATATTTTTGGACCTTGTTCCCATAAGAACGCCTCCTCGATTTGGGCCACCCAATGAATTTTTAAAACCTTATTATAAAGAATTCCTCTCCCCAAAACCATTCGATACGTTACACGAATGGGGAACTGATCACGTCCTACCCAAAATCGAAGATTCGGGTCGGTGGCAGAATATTCCAATCTGCAAGCCATCTCTGCTAACCTATGGAAAGCAAGGAGACGATACTGCGCTGATTACCCCGACGAGTCCGAAAGAACCAGATGCAGCACCAGTTAAGCAGCATAGATTGGTTTCATGCCTCTGGGCGAGTGCGGGGTATTCAACACGTGGTGAGCGTTTTGCAATCAATGATGGCCAGAGACGTTTGTTAGGTGAGTAAGAGTTCGTGACGTTGCAGCTGCTGTGCKGTATGGATCGTTCTGCTGATGTCTTCACATCGTGCTTTGTGTGGATTGGAACCTCTCAAGTTTACTTCTTTGCTCTTTCTCCTAAACGTTCGTTTGCTAGAATGGATCACTTATAATAAAATGACCGGTGTTGAACACTTCTATTTATACGATAACTCGGAGGCACATTCTAAGGACATATCGCTCAAATTCATAGCAGACATATTTCCAGATGATGTGACAATCATTAACTGGCCCTCAAAAGTCTGCAATAACAATCAAAACAATGTCGACAGTCCAGGGGAACGTTCTTCACAATATGCAGCAGAAGCCTCTTGTCGTCTGAGGTTTGGCCCTCACACGGACTGGATTGCGCAGGTAAGAAAAGATGAATGCGACGCTTCCGAAMCTTCCCCTTTTTCTCTGGGTATGAATGTGCCATGTGTTTCGGGATGATTCTATCTCTTTCTCTCTCTCTCACGCACACGCCTCATCTTTTTTCGAACCTAATCTACGGATAGTTTGATATCGACGAGTATCTTGTTCCAATGGGTGAACTCACTTCGCTCCACCAACTTTTAGACACACTTGATGAAGAGGGAACTAAGATCATCTCGTTTGGATCATGGAGAGCGTGGCCGAGACGAAAATTTATTGAGTAAGTTTAAGACTCGCACCCAATTGGTTGAACTGAAATAGATTGCAGCCATCGAAGATTAATTCTATTTGCATTTTCTTTGTTTCGAAGGGACCCTGAATTGACCAGAATGAATGGTAGGGCGAATTGCGGAAGAAATGACGGGGACTGCTTTCAATTGACCGTCCCGAAAAACTACACCATGCTTCAAGCGTATAATTGTGATCGGCAGCCGCCTGGCAAAAAGAAGGAAAAGATGCCGGCCGAAAAACAGGTGAGAGCAAATGAGAAATGAAGTGGATTTGAAGATGTTTCGTAAAATTCGTCCAATTTCTCATGAAGAACTTTCTGAATTCTTCTGCTGTTGCGTCTGAACAGATCTACCGTGCAGATTATGTTTTGCACCATTTCATTCATTATTCCACGGTCACTGGCTTGTCAAATTTGAATAAAGAAGACATCGAGAAGCGTGGACTGAAATGGAACGCGAGGAACCCTTTTCCGGATCCTCTTTCTAGATTCGGTGACGAGGAGAAAGAAGCTTTGATGCTTCACACCAAGGCAGTAGCGCATCAGGACACGGTAAGTTGGCACTACAACAGAAACAGCGAGATTGTCGTAACGTAATCTGAGCGACCGAAAATGCAACCAAACAATCGTCTCACTTGTTGTCGGAATCGCTTCAATCGCATTGGATCTGTTCCAAAAGTTGTTTTGGGACGAAACATGCAAAACTGAATACGAAGGCCACGCATTTTGTCGCCTTGGAAACCCATTTCCAGACGTTGCAAACGGCGTGGACGTTGGCGACGGTAAGGATGGCCTCAAGTACAACTGCTACGTGAATAAAAAAATCGACAATTATTTTGTCAAGGAGCTCGAAAGCAAATTAAAGGACCACGTACCAGAGATTGCCCGGCGGATGGAAAGTGAATCCAAATCATGATTATTTTTTCTATTTTGATATACATAAATTGATCTTTAGCAGAAATTATCGTGCATTAACAAAGTAATTTGTTCTATGCATGCGTCTATCAGAATAGGTCCTTGTATAATTTTTCCGCACTCTAAAGGAATTGTCAATGATCGCAAGAGAGGTTTTGTTTGTCGGTATCACGCCAGCAGCAACGCAAATCAAGCCTGGAACTCTAGAGCATGTGCGGTCCATATCCGATCCATGCTTCGACTGTCCAATTTAAGTGCTCCCTTATAAAATCAGCCATCTCTCGTTCTACTGGTCGATTGCGCCTCTGTTGCGGAGGTCTCGCGGTGCAGTTCGGTTCTATTCCTGTCCATCGGGTGACCTCGTCCAGCAACTCTTGCGTGCCCTTGGTCAACAGGTACTCGTACTGCACGGCCCACACATCGGCTATGCCGTCGTAATTCTTGATGCTCAAGAAATTTCTGATCTTGTCCGTCCTCATTTCCATAATATTCTCGTAGGGTCTCCCACTCCCGTCGTTCATCATCTCGTAAAAGGGCTGGTGCCTGCTGTAGTCCAACTTTTTATAAGAACTTCGCGGCAAGGGTTCTGTCTCGCAAGAAATGATGTCCTTGTATTCAAAGTGCTCCTGGCATCGTCTCGTGTTGTTGATTTTGTCCGTGCCCACCCGTTCCATGGTCCATGTCGAGGTCAAAAACTCCATCCACCTGTCGTCCTGACGAAACTGCAAGTGGTCCGGGGCATGATGGGGGACGTGCTGCATTGCCTTGAGCCAATCGTACGGATTCCGAAACTGGGTGATGACCAGGGTTTCGTGGGGATATCTGTACGACGCGGGGTATTGGAACCAGTGTTTGTAGCGCGTGAGTTTCGTTCGAACCTCGATTGCGTGCGAAAAACATTCCTCCAGGTGACTGGAGGTCCACCGGGTTCCCGAGTTGCGTTCTCCGAGAAGCGCAATCATTTTGATCTCGGTCCCCGGTTTGGGGCCTTCGGTTGCTTCTTGTGGAGAAGGAACCATCATGTTCAGGGTTGCATCCAGTTTGCAAGCAGTGTAGATGATTGCAGAGAGCACCAGCAGAACAACTGCCTGCTTTTGGTGGTTTGTGATCCTCTGACCATCGCTGGTGTTTTTCGGGCTAATTGCTCCCATGATCTTGGCTGGATCTTGGCTCTCTAGATGGAAAAAATCTGGTTCAAGATACTGCTACTGCTACTGCTATTGCTACGGCTACCGCACTGAAGGACCCGCTTGCTGAAAGAATGCCAAGACTTGGAAGACGTTGAGACGAGGAGTCCGAGTCAGCGGTGATCTCTAGTGTCGCTCCTAAGGTATTGTTTTGTTGCTATCCCGATAATTTTGTGATTTGGACAACTGGAAGGTACGAGTACCTTCGCTAGCGTGATGGGAATAGAGTCGGATGGATTTGCGACGAGTCGTATGAGTACGAGCAGGGGACGAGGTGTGCTTATCGAGCTTGTACTCGTAGTTTGAGATGTACGGTAGTATGGTACCAGTACGAGTAGGCCAAACAATCGTACGGTAGCGTAGGCTGTCGTGCTTGTCGATTACGGTACGTACCGTACTACTCTATCGTACATGGTACGTTCTGTATTGGGTAGTTTTTGGATTTACTGGGGTAGCGAGGAGACAGGAAACGTATCGATCGATCAAAAATTAAATCCCTCCACTAAGGTTGAGTGACAGGTCGCATTATGTACCTTAGTGGTCCTCTCCTCGGTACAGTAACCCGTAAAAATTGTTGTAACTTTCGCAACGCGGTAAAAACAGCATTGGTACGAATCTCCCCCGTTCGGAATGTTTAGCTCACTTTCAATTTTTCTCGAGATACTCCCGTTGGTCCTACCATTCCATGGTGGGAAGGTGGCTTCTATTCTTACTGTATTTCATATTTTTTCATTCGTGGGGCAATACAGAAATTTTGACTAACATGAAGTACTGTACACAATAGTTGTTGTACCGGTACGAGTACGAGTACGTACGTGCTCTATGATCAATAATTCGTGTGGTAATTTGTACGATCCACGAAATGGAGAATCCATGGCACCTGTGACTAATAATTCAAAATACGATCTGAAAAAATAATACTAGTACTAGTAATGGAATAGGAGTAAAACAAGAGTACAGGCAGTGAGCGTAAGTACAATCTGTATCACGGGAGACCATTTTGAAATCCCGTGTCTCTACTTTCCATGTACGGTACGGTACCTTGCTTCACACCTGATATTACGTATATTTATCCCTGTAATTTGTCATCTCACCTGTGCGTGGCATTCTGGGACAAACCGACAAACATGGGCTACACTGGGCAGAAATCCATGGATTCCTGCTATGAATAGGTATAAGATGGGCTCGAACTTATGCGATCCAGAGGAATACCTCTAAAGAGATTTTTGCGTGTGGTAAAGCAGTGCGATCCAATAGGTGAGACTTCTTTCTATAATTTCCTTGTGTTGAGCATCTGGTGAATTGAAGCTTTAAGTGCTGCTGAACTCCAATCACAAAAATGATGCCAAAAATGCGCACACGTAAACGCAAGCAAATGGTGGTGCACAAACACAAGATTGGCTATGCAAATGCATAGCACACAGGCAGGACGTAGATTGCCGATTCTCGCAAGTTTCGTTTACGAAACACATTAATTCGCCACACGGTTTTGAAACAAAAATTATGGTGTTCTACTTTGGTCATGCAGATATCAAACTATACATTGGGTTCCATCGCCTTGTACTACGAGAAGATGCTTCAGCGATACACTAGATTTTTTCCGTTTATCGTCGGTGTTGGTTCTGTTCTATTTGGTTTCTCTAAACGCGATGAAGCACACTCTTGCTTTCGCCATGACGTTTAGAGTTCTTCTTTTGTACTATTGTCCGATCTCGCACCGTCGTTTTCTGCGGCTAACGCAGCTTGTTGGCCTTCCAATTGTGCCTTCAAATCATCGTCCAACTTTATTTCAAAGCTAGCTAGAAATAAGTTTTTAGTTACTGGAACTGTTCCCCTGCCAGCCGTCATTGTTGCCGTTCCTTCTCCAACCACTGATGCAGCATTAGTGTAAAAATCCGAACCAAGGTAGGTATCCAAGAAGCATTTTCTGCCTTCGTCCAGGCACTCAAAGATGCTCAGACCGTCTAGTCCCTCTCCGCCGATCACTGCCTTCTGTTTCGCTTCGCCTTGTGCGTGTTTTGAACTCCATTCCCAGGAGTCGATGCTCTTGATGGCAACTCCAGCGGCCTTCGCGATTTTGCTCGGCTCGAAACAAATTCTGTACACACTATTACGCTTCTTTTTGTATTTTTCTTCAAGGGCGTGGAATTCGCTGTCACACTCGTAGGCGTCGACAGAATAATTCAAGTCCATTGCTGTTGACTCGGCTTCGTTTTCAGCAAAAACATTGAAGGCAGAAAAGATCACGATAAAGAGGAGAAAGGATAGTCTTGTCATGGTATTGGTATCTTTGCTTCACTACAACTTTTCTGTAAGTGCCGGTGGATTCTCGTGATTTTGTCGAAATTCGTCGTTCGGTTACTCGTCCGGTACTCGTATTTTGGAGGACAAAATATTATGAACCAAGATGCCAGATACAGTAAACAGGAATCGGTTCCATTCATGTGAGAAAGGGTGAACTGAGTAAAGTACAGTACAATACGCACTGCGTAGCTGATCTGTAAATAGATTCTGTACAAGAGATGTGCATTGATGCTCTTCTTAATTATCATTTTTAAACGATAGATACATGCACCATGAAAAAAGTCCATCATACTTAATTGGTCGAAAACTTTGAGTCCAAAGCAAACCCTCGTAACCTTAAGTACAACAATGAGAAATGGGGCCAAGAGCACGTCAGCAATACTTAATGCTATTTGAATCGGATCATTGTATTTGTTCTGGGTACCGTATTTTGGTCGGTTATTTGTTTTTCCAACATCGTCCCGAACGGGTACATACGGTATGTAGTAGAGTTACTTAAGGCAAGCGCAGTACTGGCAATTTATTGGCAATTCCCATACAAATAGGAATAGAAATTTATACCTCATTTTTACAGTTAAAACCAGTTAAAAAAGCATCCAATGGACAAAAATAAAAATATTTCCATTATTTAATTTCTTTTAATTTCTTGCTGGTCCTTACTACTGCTGGGGATATAATATCAGTGAGAACTACTTAAAAATTTCCATTAGGAGGGGGTACTAGTACTACTGGACAACCTCTCTCTCACTGCACCAACAGAACAGCCTTGCCCAACAGTTCGCAGCAGTGGTGCTCACTACTACAACAACTTCCCATTAGTGAGTAATAGTAATAGAGGTTGTCCAGTAGTAAGCCCTACTAATGGAAATTTTCAAGTAGTAACCACTGATAATATATCCCCAGAAGTAAGGACGACCACAAATAAAAATATTTTGGGACTCAATACTAGTACTAGTGTTTTGTTTGGAGGGGAGGGAGAGGGGAAATAAATACAGGAAAATGAAAAAAATGTCAGCTGGGAAATCAACAAAAACTTGCCAGCATGGGGCTTGCCTTTAGTAGCTCTAGTATGTACATCAGCACAGGGAAACACTGCTGCTGGCCTGCTGGAGAGTTGACTCCTCCTGAAACCATGTCAATTTTGATTTTTTTAAAATAGATTCCCAGACCCCCCTTCAAATTATTCTTTGATTGCTTTTGATGACAAAAAATGTGATCAAACMTGATCAAAAAATTATAAACTATGTTAATATGTTGATAGCAGTGGCCCTAAAAGTACATGTAACAATGGCAACAGGACTATTGGCCTCGTGCACTACTACTACTACTACTACTACTACTACTACTACTACTACTACTACTACTACTACTACTACTACTACTACTACTACTACTACTACTACTACTACTACTACTACTACCACCACCACCACCACCACTACTACTACTACTAGTGGTAGGTACTAGTTTATATCAGCAAGAAGCTTACAACAAGAATGCTGCTGCTATACCCTGTTTGCAATGGTGGTGATGGTGGTAGGAGTTTTAATTGTGACACAAGTACTACTACTATTAGTAGTACTACAGTAAATACTGAATGATATTGCAGGACTAGTACTAATTGTACAAATTCTGATCAATTTTTTTTTCTTGTGCAACAAGTACATAGGTCCAGTACTGAGGCCCTGTTGTGCAGGACCAGTACTGAAGACCATTCCTGAACCACTCGTGAAACCACCAGACCTATCATGCTACTGAACTACAAGGTTAGAATCAATCATGAGTCCCCGGAACCGGACCTATATATAGATTATGGGTTCTGGTCTAAATCCTATTTAATATATATACTACATGTTACATATGAAATCATATAGAATTCCTAGTATTCTTGATGACAGCACTTTCCAACAGAATCAGAAGCAGAACAGAACTAATGAGTTACAACATCAACAATGAGTTCTGTTCTGAAGCCCCTCGGTAGAATCTGTACCAAGATCTACAGGGGATTGAAACTACAGAACCTGTGTAGAAGGAGATCTATACCTATACCTAAGATAATTCATCATAATTCACTCTAAACATCATTCTAATTCATCAGTACACATTATTTTGTGCACAGCAATTACTAACCACATTATTACATGAAAAAACAAGCAACAATGGTCAAACCAAGTCAATTCTCCTGCCTTTCCTTGAAGAACCCAATCCAACAAGTCAACAAGGCAGATGAAGAAGATAACCCTCACAATGAATCATGATAACAACAACAAGAAGCTCACATCAAACTGTGGTATTTTCTCCAGAGACTATGGTGTCCAGGATCTGTTTATGTTGCGGAAGCCTTCACCAATGTTATCAAGGATCTTGAGTTGACTGGAAAATCCATTGATAAGAAGTGGCAAGTGGTCATTAAACATGGACCCAGAAAGAAGTGGAACACACTACTACGAGAAGGAGATACACCCCTAAATGTTGGTTATAACAGTGCAGACAACTGGAAGAGAGCTCTCATACTAGGCTATAGAAAGAGGTATGCACCAGACCAGGACACCCATGATAGTTTAATCAGCTACTTCCACTCCAATGAGGTCAAGAAGCCTCCAGATATCTCTTGCTCAATTGTAAAATGTACCGGTAGTATATATATATATATACATACTAGTAGTATATAGTAGGATTGAGGCCAGAACCTACTATACTAGTCTATAGTACATAGGTCTGGTCCTGGGGACTCATGATTGATTCTAACCTTGTAGTTCTGTAGCATAGGTCTGGTGGTTTCATGAGTGGTTCAGGAATGGTCTTCAGTACTGGTCCTGCACAACAGGGCCTCAGTACTGGACCTGTGTACTTGTTACATTATTCCCCACAGGAATACAGCCAAGTTCTACTAGTAGTTCAAACTGTAACGCGCATATCTTGTTGATCTTCAGTCAGAAACACCAGTTCTTCTGGAGGTGGTACATTCACAGATCCCTTGCATGGCACTAGCTTCCAAATGTTTACTGTCTCTCAAATATTCTGACTTCTTTGAAGGATCACTGTGTCATTGGTGTTGATTTCTACTGTAGGGTATGGACTGTGTAAGCTTTCAGCCAGCTTGTCGGGTTCATAAGTCTTTGTGTAGGCTTGTTGACCAACCTGGTACTTGAACTTGATTCTCTTTGAGTTTTCTTCTCTTAAGTTCTCATTTACAAGGTGCTGGCGTCTGTCCCTGATTGAAGCAAGCTCTATCCTTAATCATATCTTGATGAAACACCATTGCCCCAGGATAAGTGTGTAGTGATGCACTGACTGCACATTGCGCTGCATACACTACAGAGGCCAATGAATTGTCAGTAAGTTGTTCTTCATTGAAGTCTTCAGCATCTGCCTCAGATCTAGTGTGTAGGGTTGCTCTGAGGACATTGTCAATGGTTTAGTGTACTCTTTCACAGACTGCATTAGCCTTGGGATTCTTCACAGTAGTTGGGACACTCTTCTTGACCCCATACTGGTTCAATAAGCGTAGGAATTCATGGTCAAGGAACTATGTTCCGTTGTCTTGAACACACCTATTTGGTCTGGGTTACCAGCTAAGCCAGCAATTAAAAATTGTTCTGCTACATTTTTCCTGGACTTGTTGTTGATTCTAATGACCTCTACTAATAGATTGGTGACTGGATCAATGCAAGTGAGTGCATTGAAGTTCACTTTGGTTCTCCTATCAGTGTTTTCCACAGACCAATTAGGTCAACACAAACTTCATCCCATGGCATTAGGATAGCTTCTTTTGGAGGTAGGTGTCCATATCCTTGTCCTAGCTGCTTGAATCAATGGCACTCATCAGGACACTGATATTCTTTGCAGAGGACACTGAGTCAAGGGTGAAAGAATCTTGAGCTTATGGTATTGTAGAGTCTAGTGGCTCCACAATGACCTAGTAGTAAATGGTACCATCTGAGGGTGTGTTGCACTAGTCCTGCAGGGAGGTAGACCACCCAATGGTGGTATTCATTTGGTTGCACTGCTCCAGTATCTGGTTCCTTGTTCCTTGGCTTCCTGACACGTGTTGTTGGTTGTTCAAATGAGTCTAAGGTTTGTTTTTGATAATCCTCTGGATTCATCCTGTGTCTGAATTGACATTGAGTGTCATTCAACTGGTGTGTATGGATAGATTCCCAAGTTAATGGGTTGTCCATTTTGGTAACTGGGGAAAGCTATAAAAGACACTCATGTAGCTCTTGCTCTAGAAAGAAAACATCAGCAGTATCCACTGGCACAGTGAGCTCTTTGAAGTTGACTACTACACCACATTGTTGCCCATACATTTCCTTTTCTATATTCCCCACAGTACACATGTATCCTTTATGGCAAGGCACCATCAGAGGATCCTTGCCTGAGAGAGGGTCTGGAAGTTGGGGTGGTGAGATTCTTATGGTCCATGTAGATGTTGAGTTGGCCTCCATAGAGCATATTTCTGTATTCCCTGAGGCATAGAATCACAGCCAGTAGCTCCTTCTCAATAGTAGCATTGTTGAGTTGAGCCTTGTCCAATTTCTTGGACCAATAGGCTATTGCTTGTTTGACACCAGATGGTTGCTGAGTTTGCAAAATATCAAAAGGCAGATTCAGATCTGGAAAGATACAAACAAGGCTTTCATTTCCTTGAATGCCTTGTCACAGGCAGATGTCCATATAAAAGGACTGGAGCATGTTAGCGCTGTAAGAGGGGCTGGCAAGAAGCAAGACTGTTGAGGCCACATTGACTTGTAGTAGTTGACTGCACTAAGGAAGGACCAGACCTGCTCTTGGTTCTCTGGGGTTCCAATCTTGAGAATCCCATAAACCTTCTTTTGCCATGGCTTAACACCTTTGGGGCTGATCCAATAGCCCAAGAAATCTGACTCCTTAACAGCCGACTCACATTTGAGTGGATTGCACTTTATACCATTCCATGATTGAATCCACTAGCATCATGTGATCCTTGAAGGATCTGGAAGTCCAGATTCCCATGTCATCAATGCAAACCTCCACATCTAGACCATGGAGGATCTTAGTGATGAAGGCCTGAGCATAGTCGGGTGATGATTTCAGCCCCATAGACAGTCTGAGGCATCGATAGTTGCTGTCTTAAGTAGTCAGGGTGCAAATCTTTTGGCTTTCATTGTCTAGCTCAAAGCAGTAGAACATCATTGACAAGTCTATCTTGGTGAAATAATCATAGTCTCTTCTTCTGTTCATAATATCTGGGATTTGGGGTAGCAAGAACTTTGATCTTCTAACTAGCTTATTAAGCTCCCTGAGATCCACAAGCCACCAAATCCTGCCATCTTTCTTTGGTATGATAAATGCAGGGAATCCCCTTTTTGAATTGATAGTGGGTGCTATGACACCCTCACCTACTAGGTGTTGACATTCCTTTTAAATACCTCTTTATGTACATAGTAGGGAACTGGATAGGGTTTCTTCCAAACAKGCTGTGCATATGGAATCTGATCAACATGGATCTTTTTGTGTGGGTATCTTCCTAGCTTGCCATCAAATACCACTTGGAATTTGGCCAGGACTTCTTCAAAGGCCCAGCCCTGGGGCTTGGTCACGTGTTCCTCTTAAGCAGAATTATCCACTGCCAGTAGTCACCACTGCTGATTTGCTGGGCCTGTTGGGTGAGCATAAAAGGTCTCTGCATTGTGATTGACCTGTTGGTGGCTTAGTAGGCTTGAATGCACAGAGGCATGACTGGGTGGTCCCTGAGGGCCACCTGAGGCTGGTACCACATGATAGGCCTGAGCCATAGGGATAACTGGAAGCCCTTTTGATCATTCATGTACTTTACTATCTTCTCAATGGTATCCTCTAACATGTTCCTACCACTGAGCTTGTATCCAGTGCACCACTGTCTGGGGAAAGACTGGAAAATGATGAGCTTGATCTCCATCTCATACAGTTCCTTTCTGATACCATGTAGAGTGTTGGCTCTTTCACAGCATAAAATGATCCCATGTCAACAATGAGTTCTGTTCTGAAGCCCCTCAGTAGAATCTGTACCAAGATCTACATGGGATTGAAACTACAGAAATGAGTTCCTGATTGACTACAACACAAGAGATTGTGTAGAAGGAGATCTAGACCTATACCTAAGATTATTCATTATAATTCACTTTGAACATCATTCTAATTTATCAGTACATGTTATTTTGTGCAGGGTTGCCTCCCTCACAGGATTTATTGTTCTCAATTGGTGATTCCAAAAGAAGGAACTATGATTGACGCATTGTTCCTTCTGATCAACTGGACATAGAACAACTGAATCAAGGAGTATCTTGCCAAATTTTGAGTTCGCAAGATTAGTGGCAAATGTTGTGAGCTACAGTAGCAATTGGGCAAGCCAATCGGTCACTCCATCTGTTGTGGGATTCATTTTTTTAACTTTTCCCTTTGCTGCCCAAATCATGAATTTTTGGAACTTTTAGTCTTAGATTTTCCATGATTTTCCAATGGATCTACAAAACCATTTATTCAAATGCTTTCTGTCAAATGCCTCCAGAAATTGAATACTTCATGGGCCCATATCTGATCTTAGCACAGCAGTATGCCAGGTGTCGTCTACAAAAATGTCACAGGTGAAGATCTTACAAATGAACTTAATTCTTTGGAAGATTGTAAAGCCCGGGCTAAAGTCATAGCCTTCGCTGACTTTTCAAATTGCAAGCATATGAAGCAATCAATTTTTACAATTGAGAGTATCTGGTCAGTGAAGGGGCAGAACCAGTTGAGGTAGGATGAGGAATTGACAGTAATACTGGAAAAGTTGGGTGATGATGCAGAGGAATTTTCTCCTCCCCCCTCTGCCAAGTATACATCTCCTGGAGGAGGCGCAACTCCAGGTCTCACCCATGCTGTAAGGAATACATTGGATGGCTGCACCAATACAGTGAACAGGTTGGGACATTTACTCTTGTTCTTGTTTGATGAAAGAGTCCTTCCTCAGCTGATAACAAATGAGTCCAACCGGTATGTGCTTGAGATTGGGTGACAGAAGCTGAAGCTACTGCTGATGCTACTACTACTACTACTACTACTACTACTACTACTACTACTACTACTACTACTACTACTACTACTACTACTACTACTACTACTACTACTAGTACTAATGGACGGGTAAAGTAGTAGATAAATATGCTCAAGCTCTGTGATGTATCCAATCCCAAAAAAACAAAGCATGTTCTACATTCAGTCAAAGATCAAAGGAGCTTCACTTGTCCTGGCATGATGGTATAGTATGATGCATCTGTTGTGATGGAGCTTTGGGTGGTTCAAAACAATCACATCAAGAAGAAGAAAGAACTCTTTGGACTTGTCTTCTTGAGGATTGTGGTGACGACTATGTTCCCATGGTCAGCAGGAATACAATGAGCAAGCACAGATTTGGCTTTGTTAGACAATATATTCATTTTGGTGACAAGAGGAGCCGAGTTCATCATACTGACGACCCACTCTACAAAATCTGGAGATTACTATTGCACTTGAATGCAAATTTGCAGTGTCGTCCTCCCGTGCCGTAGTGGAATGGTTTTTTTTCTTTGCTTTTTTGACAAGGGGGGAAATCGTCACGCATCCCTCTAAATTTATGTACCGGTCCGGATAGTGACTTTGTCACGCGCGCGAACGTGTCCCAGATTCTGACCAATCTTTATGTGGGAATGCTGAACGTCGGTCAATCATACCAATCTCAAAAATCCAAGACTCCAGCTTCCGCATTCTACATACCGGTAGTCGTTCATCAAGATAAATTGTGGGTTGAAATTTTTTCGTCCATCGAACATTCCTTTCTTGTTTTGAACCGAAGTATGGTAGACGCAGTATGCTATTGTTGGGGCTTTTCAGGCTGAACGAATGAGAGTAGCAGAAGAGCAACCCTCGATGATTGATTCCATACACAATCACAAGGGCTTGCAACAATCCTTCGTCGTGTCTTGACGAAGTAGAAGAGATGCTATCGCCGGAAACAAAAACAGAAAAGAAATCAATGCATCCTCTTAAAATGGATCGATTCATTTTGCACTGGCATCTTTATTCCGTACTTTTCATTTTGTTTTTGAATTCATTTTCTATCGGATTCACCGCAAAGTATGACATTTGCAATGACGTCGAGGGCCTTTGTGATTTTCCAGTGAACGAGATTCTTTTCGGGATGGTTCACAACGCAATGTCGTCACCGTCAGCAGGATTTCTCTTCTTCGCCAATCACTGGAATGATCCAATAGTGGAATCACTAGATGAAGGTGAGAACAACCAGGATCGAAGATCTTATGAGGCTTTTGGGTAGGTTTCACTTTTAAATTTTGGTATCCTAATCAGATTTATTGATGTAAACGTCGTCAAATTACTCCTAGGTTACAGAGGCTTATCGCTTGATTTGTGTAATTGCAATGGTGATCTCACATTTTGCCATGGAGGATCAGAAGTTGGTTGCGGAATTGGACGACGAGACCCACTCGAAACATTTACCCAAATTAACGAGTGGGTTACGGAAAATCCGAATAATATCGTAATGATTTGGTTGCAAATAAACGAATCTGCTGGAGATCCGATATCGTTGAATGATGTTGAACGTTTGGTACAAGATGTACCAATGGGCAACGCCGGCAGAGAATTTGTTGATAGATTATACCGACCGGAGAACGACGATGGATGGCCTACCATGTCAAATCTTATCCAAGATGAGAAACAGATTCTCTTCTTCTACATGGGAGGCCCAGATGGCACAGAAGAGTCCACTATTGGAATCAATTACTTTTATGAGTATGGCATGTCAACAGATTGGTCTTATACAAGTGTCCCTGATTTAAGAGAAACACTTATAGATGGATGCGAAATTCAGCGAGACTCTGAGACTACAAGAGACTTTTTCATGATAAACACATTCGTCACAAAAGAGTTATTCGGTTATAATGTGAGACCAAGCCGTACTGCAGCGGAAGAAATCAACAAAGGGGAATTTTTGCTACCGCTGTTGGAAGTTTGTGAAGAAATCCAACAGAGCAAAGTCAACATTATTTCTGTTGACTTTTGGAAGTCAGGCGACCTGATAGCTTTCATCAACGACCAGAATTCAAAACTCGCAGTAACGCTTTCGTCAAGCAACTCGACACCAACATCTTCCTCGACCTACTTCCAACAAAGTGAATATCCGACGCCACTGCAAAATTTTACACATCAACCTGTTTTTTCAATGGTTCCGACTTCTGATGATGGCGATAGTATTCCCTCAATATCTAAGCCCTGGTCATATTCAACGCGAATGCCAAACCATAACGAACTGTCGCGAACCGAAGTTCCAAGCGATTACAATGATAGAGTTGACATACCGTCGAGCCTACCCAGTTTTGAGCCGCTACCTTTCGAGAAAATTGAATATGAAATCGGAGATCAACGGTCAAGTAAACCCCAGAAAAAAAATCTTCATCTTGGCGAAGATACTTTAGGGCAAAGCAGTGAAGAAAGGTCGCATACTGATCCGGATCAATCTACAAACTCCTCACCAGCTTCAAGTCTGGATTCAAATTTGTACTCATTGTCGGAACAACAAAATGAAGAAAAAACATTTAGCGAGCCGATTGCACCATCCACGTTTTTGCTCGGGGACGATCATTTAGAAGGACCCCTGAGTAGTGACGCGGTGGCCTGTATCTTTTCTTTTACACAGGTAGCTGCAGTTGCGATTTCAATCTTCATTGCAATGACTGTTTGAGAACATTGCAAAAGGTTGAGTTCAGAAGAGGCACCACCAATTATCTGTTTTAGCTAGTTTAGTTTTAAGACATCCAGGATCAGAACATGGGTGTCTATCGAAGAACAAGAAGGAACACTTGCCTTCTGAGGTTTAAACCAGTATAAAGGACCACTATACTCCTTACTGTTTACTAGTACTATTTACAGAAGATGTTCACGCCATATCTTTCTTGACTACAATTTCTATCATCTTGACTCCTGATGCATTCATTGTTCAATGGATGATATCTCCTCAATCAATCAAGATGAAGTTAGTACAGCCATAGCACTTCAAATCCTGATAGTAAGATTAAGGGTTGTGTTAGTAGTAGTACAACAACAACTACAACAACAACTACTACTACTACTAGTTGTAGCAGTAATGGTGGTGCTGGCGTACCACCAAGTGACTCAACTTCTTCCAACTTCAACAACAATTAGGCCACGAAGAAGAGGAATGACGAAACCACAGGAAATGAAACCATCACAATAGGCATTTTCACAACCAGAAGAGGAACAAGGAGAATGAAGTATTAAGAAAAGTGAATGATACAAGAATGAAGCATGGATTTAGTGTTTTCATTCAAGTGGTGGTGAGGAGGAGAATAGTAATACTACTACCAGTACTAGTACCAGTACAACTATTATCTGATGTAGTACTACTACTATTGCAGTATCATAGAGTGATACTAGCAAATACTAGTCATATTAGCTACAGCTAGATGTAGTGTTGTTATAATTAAAAAAAATCTTAATATTATATTTAACCTTGTGAACTAGAAGAGGCACTTGGGTGGCCAGAACCATAGCTTTCATTAGAAAGAATGCTTGTAGCTGCTCCAAGGGGCGGCGCCTCCCTCCAAGGAGGGTTTGTGGAGGTGCAACCGGGGTAGATGTAGTGATATTACTAGTTGTATGTAATCATGTACTACTACTAGTAGTAAGACTGCTGGCAATTCCCAACAATATTGGGTGATTCCATTAATCTAGAATGACTAGATTTGATAAACAGACGGACAGACAAAATTGTGTCTAGTATATTGTCTTCTAAATCCAGTCAATTTAGAACAACCCTCTGACGACCACTATTTTCAGTGGTCTACTAGTCCAAGTAAATTTAGTTTCACACTAATCAAGATGGAAGGGTTTTGACTGCATGTTCAAAATCATACTGAGGCCTACTGTGTTCTGATCCAGCACACTAAACTGTTCTTTTCATTCTATTGAAAAATTTGGTTCAAAGCAACTGACAATGGGAATAGCTCTATCTGCAGCACTTCTACTAACTCTTAGACACTGTACTTGGTATCACTGGATAGCTCTCTTCCCTTGTCAATTTAACAAGCGTTGAAGTGTAGAAAATGATCCAATAGAAGTCCCTATTTAGTTTGATTACTATTGCTTGTTTTTGTAACAGGACAACAGCTTCCAATGTTGGCAATCATCATGAGCAGGAAGGATCCAGCTGATGAGGTTGCAAAGATTAGAGCCAAGAATGCTGGTCTAACTTGACTAACACAACAGCAAAGAGCTGAGCTGCCTCATCCTTCTGTAGGGGTGTGTGAAGGGTACAATGGACATGTTAGACAGCTTGAACTGGCAAGGAAGGATGCTGGACTTCCTCCTGTTTTTGGTGCTAGCAAAGCCTCAATCAGGAGGTGGAGGGATAGACTCCACAGATAGTACAGAAAGACAGGCAATAAAGAATCCAAAATGCTGGTAGGCCAGGAGCTATTTGACCTTAAGTTCTACCTCTGGATGTTTCCAGATTCAAGCCTTCACAATCTTGCTGCCTATGTTTAAAGCAGTTGAGGGGGGGGGGGGGGGGTCTATAGTACTTGCTCACAGATTCAGAAGAAATTGAAAGCACTGGACAAGACAAGAAAGGTTGGAGCTACAGAGGCCTACAAAGCCTTCAATTCTGGTGAGAACTTGTTCAGGGCCCGGATTTTCTGGAATGAACCTCCTCCAGTTGGAATAGTTGGTATTCCATGAAGGAAGTTCATTGATATGGGTGAGTTTGGTATGGAGATCCAAAGAACCAACTGCAAGGATATTGGCAATTTCTCGTACAAACACATAGGAATTTTTAGCTCATTTTTACAGTAAAAAAATGTCAGAAATTGTAAGAATATAAAAATATTTTGATTCTTTGTTTCTTGCTGGGTCCTCTAATAGTAGTGCTATCAACAAGTACTAGTAGTACTTGTACTAGTGGCAACAGGTGACAGAAATTTTGAAGTGTAACCTCTGATATTGCATTCTCAGTACTAAGGTCTCCAAATAGAAATATTCATGGACTCAGTATTTTTTGGTGGGGAGAGGAGGGAGAGGGGAAATGGAGACAGGAAAATGAAAAAATTGACAGCTTCTTGTTATCGCCAATAAATTGCTAGCATGGGGCTTGCCTTAAGTAGCTCTATGGAGGGAAATGAAAGTTCTTCCGAAGATTCTTGACACAGAATTCGTTCTTAGAAAATTACCATACCGTACTGTTTGTAAGTTAGCGTACCGGTACGGGTACCAAGTACTTGTAGGATAGGAGGTACGAAGCGCTTCCCGCCCATGACCCATGGCACCGTTGCAGTTTGCTACGTTATGCGTACGACTTTCGCACTATGATAGATGTATTTGGTTTTTCGTTCGTATCAACAAGTTCCTTTGATGCTGCAACCTGTGAGGCTCAATGACACTGAAGAGCACACGTACATTTTGCACAACCAACCTCCATACGAGTTCCGTGTGCATTGGCATCTACGATTGAGGGCCGAACCTATCGAAATAAAGTTTTGAGATAGAAATACAGCATGTTGACGATGCAATCATCATCTTCAGGAAATATCATCTTTTTACTACTTGTTGCTACAAATGCTCATGCAAGTGATGGTGAGTTTATTTTATTCTCTCATAGCGCCCTGAATAAGTGTATCGAACAAGTCAAATGCAGAAAAGTAATTCCGATGTAGATGAGGGAAGAAAGCTGCTTAATATTCAATCTTTTACTCTTTTCAATATTTGTTTCAGCAATTCAAAGTCAAGCCAACCACGATGACTTAGAACTACTGAGCCATGCCGCTTACCACAAAGTCGAAACTTTTTGCGCACGTGATGTCGAAAGATATTGTTTCCCGAAGGAAAATCCCCTTCCGATCTTTTTCCTCTCTGGCGACCCTATTCTTGATTGGATTTTTGTGTCTGCCCCGAGCGCGAATGTCCCTTCCGCACCCGAAGACCATGAAATCGATCACTTCATGAATCAAGTGTTCGATTCATTCCTCGTGTCGAGCGAATCAACTTACGAATTATCGACCGCGTGGTTTGGCGATATTTCAGCCCAAATACTCTTTGAGGAAGCTGGTTCAGAACACCATCAAATGGCACGTCGTTTGACTGAGATCGACACCAAGACAATCAATAATCACGTAGAACTGCCTTTCGGTAGCAAGAATGCTTGCTTGAAAAGATCGTTTGAGCAAGAAGTACTGTCTCAAGATTGCGCTAATTCCATTCGGATGTTGGAACATACCTTTTTCCTCGAAACTGAAATGAGTCGTCAAAAAGAAGCTTTTGTCAGCCGGTTCCTGTTTTACAACTATTTGTATCTGATATTCCTTCTTCTTTTGGCACGATACATTTCTGCTCGACGTCTGAATCGTCGTCGACTCAAGCGTAAGATTCTCGAGACTGTGTATGCTAACCCTTCCATTCGAAAACAAATCGAGTTGGAGATTGGTGAAACTATTGATTATGGCACCAAAGAACATACATCGTTGGTTTCCCGCCGCGGTGAGAAAGTCATTCAAAACAAAGGACTTTTACACCCTAAGAATATCGTGTGTGAAGGCATACCTGTACAAATTGTTTAAAGATATGTTTACTGACTTCAACGCGACGAAAAATTCACAATCTAGCTGACATCCATATAGTACTTCGTGCTAGTCTCGAAAAATCACGAAATTAAAGCTTTTCTTCTCGAAACTCAGGAATCTTCCTATAGAGTCACTTGTTGCTATCTAGAAGCCCCTGCCGTCTCGCATTTTCCACGCATCTGCTGATTCCTTCTGATACTTTCGAAGATCGACATTTCCCAACCTTAGCAATGGTAGCTCCAACATCATCGAGTGTCACGGAGCAAGACTCAACCGCGCAAACCGCGGCAATGTTTTTCCCTGATAGGATGGGAGATCGCTTCGGTGCCGAAACAAATGGCTTTCCGACAAAGCCCAGTTGTCCATCTCCACCTTTCCCGTATGCATAAACAAACCTTCTGTTCGATGATAGCACCAACGTGTGATCACCTCCAAGAGCTACATCACGAATGCCCGAATAATTATCTTTTTTCATTAGTTCTTCCACAGATTGCGAAATTTGGAAGCGATCTTGCCATTGTTTTCCTCCTTGCCATGTGTAGCCAGTAGAGCCGCTATTGGAACTCCCCAGACCAAGTTGCTGCCATCGGTCACACCCTGCCATCCATAGATTTCCTTTATCGTCGATTATTGCAGAGTGACCAGATTCAGGATCTGAATTGTTACTCGCGAAGGCTTTCGTTACCCTCACACTATTAGGAAGGTTAACTCGACCAGGTCTTTTAAAGGGCATGTCGGTGTTATCGCGCCCCAACTGACCCATAGACGTAGATCGACCCCAAGAGAAAGCTGCTCCATTGGCAGTTATTCCTATCGAATGCTGCGTCCCTTCCGCCACGTAAACAAAAATTGGGTTCTTTACCCCATTATTTTCCATTAGATCAAATTGGATATTTGGTCTCGTGCATTCAATCGCAAGAGATAGGTTGAATGTGATTCGAATCTAGTGAGTTTGAGTGAGCAATGGCAAGGGGCGTGAGGGGGAACTACTCGTACTGTCGTAACGATGGATCATAGTCAGCCAGCAAAACAAAAACCCGAAACTTGGGGTCAGAGGTCAGAGTGAGTAGGGGAGTACTGAATCGTACGTACGTAGGAATAGGAACGCTCGTACTTTTAGTTTCGTATCGTACGTTACTGTAAATTGCTGTAGAATCATGGAATTCACTACTGTTGCTGATTTAGTTGAATTCTTACCGTTGCGTTTGGTGCAGCAGGATTATTAGCTTCAAAATCGACACAAAAAATAAACATTTTGAAAAAAATACTATTGGATCACTTATTGTTACGAATGTTGTGTCCTTTGCACGGATGGCGCGGACGAAAATGCCCTCGCAACCGTGCTTTCTGGGCTGTGTGAAGCGATTGACAAATAATTCATGTTAGAAGTAGTACGAAGGACATGGCAATTGATTGGAAGTATTACTTTGTCCCTCACCTATCTATTTTATGAAGCATTCGTAGAAAAACTCCCCAAACAATGACAACCCTTAGTGCCGAGAACGAGGATAATTTATTCCCTTCGTTGGCACTTTCTGGTACGAACGCTTTAATATGCAAAACGAACAATGCGATTGATTTTAGATTTTGTTTGATTCGACTCGGTAGTTTCTGCCATTGGTGATTGCTCATAGTTCCGCCTTTTTTGGTGTTCAATGAAAATAAAGAAATTAAAACTGGTCGAATAGTTGGCCAAGGTGGATTTTGCATGGTTTGTAAAGTTGAGAAACTTGATTTGAACGATGTTTTTGATACGTCGGATGATAGTGCGAAGAAACGTAATGACTTCGTAGCCTCTCTACAGGAGAACCAATATGTCATGAAAACATTGCGAACGGATCTTCCGGAAGAAGAATATGTAAAAGGAATTGTGGATCTCGCTATAGAAGCCGAATTTTTGTCGGTATTATCACATCCCAATATCATTTCAATGCGAGCCATGGCTAATTCTGATCCACACGAATCCAAGTTCTTCGTCATACTAGACCGATTGGTGATGACTCTTGATCGAAAATTCAATCAATGGAGACGAGAGGTTGGTGAAAATTCTGGTTATTGGCTCGGGCCATTTGGATATTGCTGTGCAAAGGAACACTACTTATACAAAACTTGGTTGGATCGAGTAACAGCTTCACGAGATATTGCGAATGCCATCTACTATCTGCACTCGAAGTCAATCGTGTATAGAGATTTGAAGCCCGACAATCTTGGGTTCGATGTCACTGGAACGTTGAAACTTTTTGATTTTGGGTTAGCCAAACGTATGGATACTGTAGAAAAGGCAGGTGACGGCCTGTACCGTCTGACAGGAAATACTGGGTCGTTAAGGTATATGGCTCCAGAGGTGGCGAAGGTGAGCTAGTAACTCCAGAAGCTAGTCACGTTGCGTGTAATGAATCAATTACAGCGATTGCCAGCGTCTTGAATTTTCTAACACTTTTTCTTCTGATTGACAAACAGGGCGAACCGTATAATCAAAGAGTTGATGCTTACTCGTTTGGAATGCTATTCTGGCAAATTTGTTCACTGCAAACACCGTTCGCTGGAATGTCGGCTAGAACTCATGCTGATCGAGTCATCCAGAAAGGACAAAGGCCGAAACCCGATAGGTCATGGCCTTTGAGTTGGGTAGATATTATGACACGATCCTGGGATCCTGATACTGAAAAAAGACCCGATTTTGACGAGATTACTAACTTTTTGGATGGACAAGTTGAAGATATGGATGGTAACGATGGAGAGGTTCCTTCTCGTGCAAAAGAAATTAAAGCGAAGAAGAAAAACAAGCCAAAGGCAACGGAAAGGTTAGATATCGACACTAGGATAGCAACCGCCGATGATGGTCCTAATGTGAAGATTCATGACCAGGAAGTGTTATAATCTTGTATTTCGATAGGAGAAAATTACATTGTTCAAGCCAAACAGTAAATTGCACCACAATTTCCAACTCTATTACCTGTAGTACAGTACGCGCCTTTTAAGAATATTGTGAAGTGGGCAGTTTTATGTCGTTTTCTTGAGAATGAGAAATTGGCAGTTGAGACCTCAGAGCTGTCTTCAATGCCCGTTTTTTTTGGTAGAATTTCTTTTCTACGAATACAAAATAATAATATATTCCAAACTATTGTGGCGCATTCGTGTAATAATTCACAGGGCATCGGTCTGCAGTATTATTGATTTTTTAATTCTTGGCCCAGAGCAGAGGTTTTCGTGATCTACGTTGATTGCAGTACGTTTCTGTTTTCTCAAGGCCAACATACCTGGTCAATGGTTGTTCATACCAGAGTATATGCTCCAGCATTTTATTCCAGGGCTCTGAAAGAAATCACGAGGACATTCTGTATTTATCTTTAACCACCAACGACTTGAGAAGTCTACACAGACTCAACGAGTTGCCGCTATACATTTAACGCTAGAAACTTGAAGTTGGGTTTCGTGAATTTTTCATTCTTGGTCCAAATAATCTCACATCTCAAGCATCAATTTGGAGACGAGAAACCGATCATGATAATCGCGTTGTGGGGTACTCTTCGCGTTTCGCGTCGTAAATGGTACAAACCGCACTATTTTGGTAAGGATCCTATGGGATTGGTAAGAATCGGCACGGAATCCGAATTTCTTGCTACTGTTGTTGAAACGTTTGTTTCGCTGACTTCGTAGAAACGAAGCAATCGAGAGAATATGCTGCAAACCAACATAGATAACCAAAGCACAGTGCCCCTAGCAAATATGTATGGGAGCGCGTGTTACTAGCCTGTAAGGTTGCAGCCATTGACCCTGTTCTTCATTCATCCTCATCCTCATCTTTGTCATTGTCTTCCTTTTCCTCCTCTCTCCTCTTGTCTTCTTCTCGTATTTTTTCCAGGAACAAGTCTATTGCTCCGTCAGATCCTAATTCGTCTTTTGCTTTCTGAAACTCGTCTTTTGTCTCGCTCATAGCTCGGAGGAAATCGGCTTCTGCTTGTGCCGCTGATTGTTTCACCTGGTCCGGCGGGATGGATCTACCCAATTTGTCTAGTTTCGCACGTTGCAAATCACGATAAAATTCCGTGTCACTGCCGTCGTTATTTTCTTCGAATGGCGGCTGCGATCCACAACCTGGCTGTTTTTCTTTTGCTCGCTGCAAGTCACGGTAAAACTCCGAATCGATGTCGTTGGAATTGCCGCCGCCTGTTTCTTCTTCGTGAAAACCGTCGTAATTCGGTATCACCAACAACCGCGTGGTAGTGGCAGACGACTTGAGCAACGGAAAACTCGCCGTGAAGGCGTTCGTCGCTGCCCGTGGTTTCAGCACCAACGACACTGCAATTGCCACAAAAACACGATGAGGTATGGCGGACGAAGGGGGTCTCGCCATTGTTCGGTTGCCGTGTGGTCCTTGACAACGTAGGGATTTACGCGGTGTGTTCCAGGAGTATAGCTGGCAGACGTCGTTTTACAAAAAGTAACTCTTCGGGGTGGGCGAATCAAGATCGTTGTAGACCTCGAAAAATGAGTGAAGGTCGATTTTGTTATTTGTACGCTATGTTACAGTTCTTATTGCTTACGAATTACTTCTAAAGGTTTGTGTTGTCAATGCCGCTATTCACACTCGTATTCCTACTCGTTCGTGGCCTCCCATGTCATAACTCTCTCTCGATGGAGTTGTCTTGCAACCGTCCGTCCATGATCACTATCATCGGATTACTGTATCAGGAACAAAGAGCTGGTGTCACCTTTTTCATGTTTTGACGGCCAAGAATACGTTCTACGTTCTTCAGTCAGGACCAGATCAAACATCAACCAATCGAACATAAAAAATAGGTGCTTTTATTAAACTTGTTTAAGTCGGAATGGGAACATCCCCAGTTCGGACTGGAGCAGTGTGAGTCGTACGAGGAAATATCGTACGTCATTACGTACCACAGCTGTGCTCAGGGTACGGACGTACTCGGCACGTGTTTTTTTCCTCTCATAACATGATCCTAATTTTCAGCGAGGAGGAAGGTTCTCCACGACGTTGGAGTTTGCGGGAATAGGTGTTCCGACGAGAGGCCTCTCTGCAACGGAGTGCAATCATCTTAAAAGGGCTTTTGAAAATGTTCCGATACATTCCGTTGTGGTCCTTTTGTCCCAAAAAGGCGGGAGATTTCTGTTTTTAACTGACAAAAGTTTTAATGATCATCCACCGAATCTTATTGGAACCGAGCATGCCGCGACGAGAAAAAAAGGGATTTGTATCATGGACCAACGGCATTTCGTTGATTACAGTATTTTCACGTTTGTTATTCCTATCCATGACTTACTAGCGGGACTACGTACTATTGCTGGTACCGGTACTTCTAATCTGAAGACCACTGTTCGAAAGTGAGTGCGGAATACGAGTTCGTAAAAGTTGTCGCCGGTACGTACGAGTGCCGTACATATTCGTAGCCACCTGTGCTCGTGGTGTCAACCTCAACAAAAATTCGGCAAAATTTTTCGAACATCTCGTCCCAACAAACGTTCCCGCTCTGTTCGCGCTTCGCAGCGTTGATGTCTTCCATCCTACGAACTGTGCAGGTACCGCATTCTTATTCGATTTCTGCCTGTACACCAAATGTTGCGATAGTGGGTCCGCTGGTTACTACATTGCCATAGTTACACCATGGCCTCGGCATTCAATACTGGCAACGGCCATCGAAACCAGCTTCCTTCTACTTCGCAGATTTTTCGGGCTGTGGTCGAGGAGGATTATGAGGGACTCGCCAAGAAATTTGCCGAGAATGCGAGGGAATCCATAGCGTCTTACGTGTCACTTCAGTCGAGATGGGCAATGAGGGGGGAGTCGATGGCAGCATCAGGCAAGTAGTGTCTGGTTTAAAGACAAAATTGCACTTCGCACCGCTTAGCTTCGTTTTTTCTCATGCGGCTTGTTTGGTTATTGGATTCCATTTCATTCACCGATACGATTCTCACTCGATATTTTATGCCATTTGTAATGATCACGTGAATGTTAATTGATGTACATACGAACCGTTGTAACGTCACTGCTGTCTGGTTTCGATTTGTCCGGTTTCGCTTCATCCAAATTCAGAAGAAAAAATTGACGAATTCCTGCAGCACTCTTCGCAACATTCGTCGAGCCCAATGTTGGAACCGAAGGAGCTCAACACAAGCTCTGACTATCTTAATGTATTACGGGATCTTTCAGCTTTCATCTCCGACAACAATCATGGGGCTGGGTTCCCTCGGGGACTTCAAACATCATCAGCAGCAGCAGCAACAACAACACGATCGAAAGATGTCTATCGATTGATCTGGGATGCGTCTGCAACTCTAGCAGACTCTCGTCCACCGGCGAACTTGTGCATTTACGATCGATTTGGTGCCACGAGTCCAGCCCCAGGCCACGAAAACGATCCACCGATCTTTGATGGTTCTGTTGCGAATGCCACGCCAGCTCCACACGGAGGGGTTGGTGCGTCAGGCGGAACCGGAACAATCTTGCATCTGTCGTGTGCGTTGGATAGACCATTGATGCTTGCGTTTTTCCTCATCATGGGAGCGGACGGCAGAGCCAACCACACTGCATTTCGTAGGCTCGTGGTCCACGAAGCTGCGTGCAACGGGTCGATCAATTGCTTGACGCTCTTGCTGGAGCTAGGCCATCAATATGCGGAAGAAGTTGAGGGGAAAAATAGTTCGCAGTCCGGCAGCAAGAACAGTGGCGCCAGCGACGTTCCTTTCATGCCTGACGCGATGGAAATAACTTCCTCCATACCCGCTCCTAGACTAGCCGCTCGGCCACCGAATGGAACCTCGTCGAATCGCAGGCACCTCGGACGGACAACCCATGCTGCGGGTGGCAAAAAAGAGAACGATACGTCCAGGTACATGAATTACATTCCAATTCTTCGACGGTTCCAAAATTTGGCTCGGTCGGTCAATGAAGGGATTATGTTAGAGCTTCAAGCAGCACGCTCTCTATTGGCCCACGTACCAATTCTAGAAACAACCAAAGCCGCGTTGGTGAGATCTTGCTCCTTCCGGAACGATACGCTCTACTCGAGCCATTCTTTTTTGCGACCTTTCGGTTGTGCCGATGGCCACGGCAATACACCGCTTCACTGGGCGTCGTTTAAGAACGAAACGGAATGTGTTGCACTCTTGTTGAACTATAATGCCGATCCAAATGCGCGAGCTCATCCGTCGGGTTGGACTCCCTTGCACGATGCTGCTTACAGCAACTCACTGGCATGCATCGAGCTTTTGACCAGCAAGGGAGCACAGATAGATGCAAAAGCCAATAGTGGTGCAACGCCACTATGCTTCGCTGCCCAGGAGGATGCATCGGATTCGGCACGCCTCCTTTTGGAACGCGGCGCAGATCTATCCTCGCGATGTGCCGGTCCACCACCAGATGATGGAGCGCAATATCACAACCCACTTCCCAACCACCCGCATTCTCGATTTAGTGGATACACACCGCTACATTACTGCGCCCACTACAATGCTCAGCGAGCGTCTCAGGTTCTCCTGAGTCATCCAAAAGCAAAATCAGCAATGGAAGTTCCGGACTTGAGCGGCCGATTGCCAATTCACGTAGCTGTAGCTCGCGGAAGCAGTGATGTACTGAGAGCACTTTTGCATGCTGGTGCACGGATAGACATTCCGCCCAATGGGAGTCCTACTAGTGTTGCCAGGCCATCTCCTACTACACCAATTCATTTCGGTCTCTTGCCAGCGGTTGCGGCTCGCCAACAGATTGTGCCGGCAGAACCTGGTTCTCCGAATCGGTCTCACGCGTCCTCGGCGACAAGCACTTCTCCGGTTACTTCGCCTATCTTGAGATCGATGATTCCTTCTCAGCCCATTAATTCGTCAAAACCTTGGAATTGTTTGTCTCAGCAAGCAATAGACGAATGCAGAGAACTAATCCTAAAATCGGAACAAAGTTGGAGTCCGGATCGTCATTTGCTATTTACTCCAAACGACCGAAAGGCCGTGATGGAACTCCTTCGGGTTGGTAAGCGTCTCGAACAAAATGGAACCGGAATTTTTATTGATCTCTGGCCGACCATCTTGGGGTTTTGTGGGCGGGGATGGTTCGAGACCGATGTTTGCGAGATGTCCTTCGTTGAAAATAATGGCAGGACTAATAAAATACCTGACAATCATGGGGCTGAATTGAACGACAACAATGGTTCAACACATCATAATAGGGATTCCTACCTTGCCTTGCCTACGTTGGAGGGTTGAGTGACGATCGTCAAAAAACTTTTATAATAAACTTTGCTCTAAAGACATGGTTGAACTAAGGTCAATGAAGTTGAGCTAAGAGTATTGAATCATTAGAAAGGACGGTAATTTTAGTTTTAAAGCGAAACACATTGAGAGTGATCACAATTCCTGTGGAGCAGTCGAAAGCAAACTTTCTAGCTTAGGAACAAGGACTTCCTCGATGACTTCATTTCTCCAATAATTGAAGAAACTCTCGTCTGGTTTTAAAAAAGCGTTGTCCCTGTGTACCTTATCAACAAATTGAACACTGTCCTTGCATAAAAACCATCGTACAGTCATGCTTCGACCAAATCGCCTTCAGAGTGATCACAATTCCTGTGGTCCAATCGAAAGCAAACGTTCTAGCTTAGGAACAAGGACTTCCTCGATGACTTTATTTCTCCAACAATTGCAGAAACTCTTGTCTGGGTTTTGGAAGACATTGTCCCTGTGTAACTTGTCAAAAAATTGAACATCGTCGTTGCACAAAAATCCCATCGTACAGTCATGCTTCGATCCAAGTAAGCATTCTGCTGATCGCCTTCTTGTTTCGTGGGGCAGCACACTTCGGGCGTGTACTAACGCACCCTGAGTTAATTCGTCCATGAACAATTCATGCTTTGCTTCTTGTTTCTTTAGACGCCCCCAGCTATTTCTTTGGTCCAATTTTGTATTGGTATATTGCGTCATGGCGGTCGTCACAGTGGAGTAGTGCACGAAGTGCAACAGCACAAATGATGGTCTGTAGATTTGTTTCATGGCTCGCTGAAACCTCTGTGGTTTTGGTGGCCGGATGAAATCGCTGGGAAACGATCAGAGATAGCAATCCGTTGTCAGTTATTGAATGCGTCTGTTGGCAAAAACAACTCACAAAACAGCGATATAACATACCAGTTGTGAACTTGTAAAAACGTCTTGTTCCTCATTGGACCCACGCATGGCTCCACCGGCAGTCCCCGTCTTTTCCGTTCGATTTCTTCTGGGTCGATACAAACTGACTGGTCTTCTAACTTTCTGAAGTAGTGAAAGAACACAATAAAAATCAGTTTGAAGCCCTATGAGGTAACTGCGTGTAATTATATAAAAAACCCGAGAAAACATCCATCGTGAGCTCTACAACAGTGAATGGTCTTACTCTGTTAATTCGATCCGCGGTTTTCCTCTGCTTGACAAAAACTTCATGACAGATTTGTCTAATTTGTCCATTTCATCCATAACGGGGTGCCAACTATATTCACCATCCTCAGTTTGTTTCATTGGAACCTAGAAGAGCAACTGTGAGTCAGACCGGAAGGGGGATGTACAGAATAAGGCTAAAAGTTCTCGAGGTAAGTACGTACCAAGTACTCATCGATGTCGAGGAACGTCATCCATTCGCTAAGTTCTCCGTAACGTTTCAAACAGGAGCTTTCAGCAGCGTATTGGGACGAGCGTTCACCGGGGCTAGGGTTGCCTGGTTTGTTCTTTGCGGAAGCGGCAGAATGCGATCAAAGCACAACGCAGTTGCATCAGTGCAAAGCAAATTGGACCAATGGCGCATGATTCCTTGAAAGCATCGAATTTCGAAAATCGCATCTCTCGCGTTCCGATACTGTAGGATTATTTCAACAGCACCAAGATATACTACTTACATTATTGCAAATTTTACAGGGCCAGGCTTTGTATGTAACTTGGTCTGGTCTGAAAGACCGAGTAACATCATAAATGACGGATGAATTTCCACTCAGAGCTCTATTCGTGTTGTCATATACGTATATGTGATCCATGCCCACCATCAAATGAAAATGAATCCATTCCCTCAAGCGTTTAGCGCTATCGGATACAGTATAAATGTCACCTCGGCGTTGGTACGATGCAGAAACCCATGTACAAGCCACAAGACGATGCGGTTTTTGGTTTCTTTCTTTAGCACCAATAGTTGAGAGTTGCATTGGACTCTTTATGGGTGATAGATGTAAGCTGCTGGAACGTCGACACAAAGGTAAATTCTCCCACCGGCCGGCGTTATCCATGGACGGAATAATGTTGTGTTGGCCAAATACATCATTGAGGTATGGACTTCCAATTGCTATGTCTCTCATTGCGCTTAGTTTATCAGATAGCAATTCATCATTACTTCTCACAGGGGTTCGTATTGGAATCAAGTCGACATACAGAGCAGGTTGATCATTGTTGACAGCTGATTGCTTTTTCGATGACTCGATCGTCAACGGCGGTAGTAATAAAGGCTGGAATTCTTCGGGAATTGGGCAAGCAAATAGCAACTGACTCAACCAAACCATACTCTGCTCTTTACCTCCATGGGGTCCAATCATTGCCTTCTTATGCTTTCTCCAGCTTATGTATTCATAATCAAACGGGAAAACAGAAAGTGTTGTTATCTTTGTGCCAACGTGGTGGAATCGGCACTGAAATCGTGTGGCATTATGAGTTGCTTCTTCAAACGAAGAGGCCAATCGGTAAGTCTTCTGTTTTTTCTTTCTAGTCCCTCCCGGAGTATTTTTCGTGTCATTTCGATCCTCCACCACAATAGGAATTCCCTGGAAGAGGGAGATTTGGGGTGCCCAAAATTCCATCTGTTTCTCATTAGCTGCCCCGGTTTGGCACCTGCGTCGGTTTTGTGCCACAAAATGTAGAGATTTCCCGTCTAAGGAAGGAAAGTAATCATGGATCCAGGGAAGCCAAGGATCACCTAGTGGGAACTCGTCGACAGGAAAGTTTTTCATAAGAGACGAACAGTTGTTTACGTTGGGAAAGGTGACCAATTGAAGGCTTGACATCGATGTGTTCCGTACAAATAGTTTTTGGTTTTTGTCGGTGTAAGTCACTGATTCCGTTGGCTCCAAATATGCAGTCAACAATTTGTTTCCATCGAGTGCAGAGGCAGCTCCTTCTTTTATGTCGGGACTAGTCGAAGTTTTGACTTCTGGAAAACCTTCCCAAACGCTCTCTAAACGCTGATCCGTAGCGACCTTCAATGGTTGTGTGAAGGCCAGGAACAGGACCCTGGTCACAATGACGGCGAAAAAGAAGTACCGAAGAAGCATGTTGTGGTGTCGTTTTCGTCGTTTCTGTTGGTCTCTGTTCGGGGTGCCCATGGTAGGAGAGACCCCGAGCACCCGATTCATGCTTGTTTGATCTATCTGCTACACTAGCGCAATCGGTATTCAGGCTGCGTCTCTCACTTTGTAATCGAATTCGCTCGTCCCGGTGGAGATGGAGAGAGGAAGAAAAAATTGCTTCCAATACGGTACATCGTACGATACGGTACTCAACAGGCTTGTGGCGCGCCGATCGATTGAGATGCATCATTCGTTTCAGCTTAGCTGGACTAGTACGTACCCTACCGTACATAATCCTACGTACCATAGCATATCTCATAGCATAGCCGTAAGCCGTTCGAACTAAAATGAAAAAATTGTGGAAAAATTTATCGCGAAATAAAAAATAATACAGGAATATTTCTTTTAGAAACATGTCGACCAATGCAAGACCCCGAATGGATTTCTGTAAGGGATGACAAACGATATTGGAAGACACATCGCGATGAATTTCTCTCGAAGGTTAAAAAGCCAAAGAAGAAGCTCGGTTCTTGCATCTTGTGGAACTGCGATCGCATTGTTCCCCATTGCTGTATGGGCGCACGATAGTCTGTTCTCTCTGTGTCGAGTTCGGGGGTCCTCTATGGAACCCGCACTGTTTGATGGGGACGTTGTCGTAGTTCGCAAGTCAGACGGATTCTGGCAGCGTTTTACGCGTCCCATTGGAAACGATTCCCAAGGAAGACAAGCTGACAGGCACAAACACCAAAGATGGGCCGCCGAACGAGAACGAGTGCTGTCCTACGAGCGAGAGCACTGCAACTCGAACGGATCCATTGGATTGCTTAGGAAACCCGCCACTCCGATCACGGGGGACATCGTAGTTTTCAAAGATCCCGAAAAATACCCCGATCGATGGAACATCAAACGAGTCGTAGCGCTTGGTGGACAAATTGCGCGTGCGTCGGTGCTCGTACCGCCGTTTTGCATATGGGTAGAAGGTGACAATCTTGCAAATTCTACAGACAGCCGCACCAAAAGCCACGGTCCCGTGAGCAAGAAGCTACTGGTTGGAATTGTAGAGTATAGAGTCTGGCCTCCTTGGAGATTTGGAGAACTCGAGAATAGCAACAGCACAGCTATCACCAACACCGATAGCTCCGTGATCCGCAATAATGATGCATCATGAAAGGGACGAAAAACGAAATTGGTCATCGAAATGCCATTTGTCAAGCCATGAAGAACGCCTCCTTCTTTATATGTTCCATTCATAGTTTATTTCACACAAGATCAAAGTCTTGTTGGTGGAAAGTGATTTCTTCTGTGCCAGATCGTTTCTTGGCAAATAGCAGGGTCAGAGCAGCATTGATTACGAATTTATTGGTCTATTTGAGAAATCGCTGTTCTTTTGATGCATTTGGTATACCGTGATACTGTGTGGTAGCAATATGGGTATCGGCAATCCTAGTACTACAAGTACTTTTAATAGTATTGGCACCAGTTGTACCCATTCTCAGAAACTACTGCTGCTGGGTTTTCCGGTCACAATGGTCTACTGAAGTCCTTGGTCCAGAGGTCGAGAGTGAAAACCCAGATGAGATATGATCCTGCTCCTCCTCCTTCTTCTTGTTCTTCTTGTTGCATAGTAGTAGTAGTACTAGACAATCCCTGGACCTGTCAAACCTTGTGACATATGAAATTCAGAATCCTCCTATTCTCCCTAGTAGTCGTGGGTATACTGGCCCTGAAAAGGACAGGAATCATCACATGCAGTAGCACTACTACTAGCTAGCTATTTTCAGACTTCTAGTAGTAGCTAGTACTACTACTACCAAAAATGGCCCTTTTTGGAGGCCTTACTTGCATGGCTCCAATATAAAGCATAAAGATACTACTGAGTTTTGTTAGTAGTTTGATGCAAAAAAACATTCTGAGTTTACTTTTTCATGGTAATTTGTCCTAGTTGTAGTAGTACTACGATACTACCGCTATTATTAATTTCGTATCACATACCCTACGATAGTACGTACGTACGTATTCTATGTTGTAACTACCTACTGTAACTCTAGCAATTCTACCATGAATATTTCGCAGTAGAAATCCTTGCCAGCCGGAACGTACTGAAGTACAAGCTCGTACAGTACTTGGTATCCGTAGTAGGATAAAGGATTAACCGATTCCGAACTACAGTACCGTACCGTACGTACCGTACATATTGTGCTTCACCTTCCGTACTGTACGTACGTACTACGTTGTACAGTAGCATATTTTTTGGTACAGTACTGAGGATTTGGTTCAAAATGATGCCATCCGTATTCTACCTGGGGTCATTGCCGTATTCTACCTACGAGTATTTTCGATTGGTAAAGTAATGAGCGCGAACGCAATTGGCCTTCTCGATGAAACATGGCAGACGTTAATGGCCTCTGAAGTATTTCTGATTGGTCTTTCTGTTCGCGCTATATATACACTTCACTAGTATTATATTTAAATTTGCGTCAGGCGTCTCATTTATTTGACATCTGGTTGGAAAATACGTTTGCGAAAGAACAAAGAATTTCGAGTGAGCAGATGAACGGATTCAGAGAACGAAAAGTCTTTCCGCATTGCGGGTTGATGTCGATGTTCTGCTTTCGACTACGAACCTTTGAAAATCAGAATCCAAACCTCGATGGTCCATGCCAAGAAGAAGAAGAAGAAGAGAAAAGGAGGAAGATCCCTGCCGACATAAATCTCCTTTCTCTTTATCGCTAAAGGTATTGCTACTCAACTATCAATATAATTACTTTTTCCCTACAATCGAGCTTCGGTAGAAAGTATTGAAACAAAAGAACGACGATGACATCACTTCCCAGAGCAATCGTCGCATTTGCGATCTTGTCCTCTGCCATGGGGTTTGTACCTCCGAAGACAGAAACACGAATACATGGTAGCACTGCGTTACAGATCAAGAACTCCGATCGGGCTCGAACAGAACGTTTGCTAGAAGAATCCATGGGCGACGACTGGCGCCTATTCCGTGCCAAATTGGTTGCTCGAGAAAAAGCATCCAAGCCATCCGAGACGAACAACATCGAAAACCAAACGCCGACACCTCCGTCTTCACATTCAACCGATTCCGAGAACGAAGACCCCCAGGCTTCATCTTCGTCGACACCACCATCGTCTTCCAAACAACACGATGAACTTGAAAAACAAGGGCAGCTCGGGGAGCTGTTTGGTGCCGCAATTTCTTCCATATTCAAATCTGGAAATCAAAAGGAATCAACGAAATCATCGAACGAAAACATCTACAGAGGAGATTCGATCGGCCGAGGCATTCCACAATCCGAGCTTACCTCCCAGGATCCATTCTTGTCGGCCGATGAACTTCCGATTCATATCAAGCCAAAAAAGTACACCCCCGTTGACAAGCATCGATGGGCGCATGAAATCGACCATATCGAACCAGGGTGTGTCTTGATTGCGAATGAAAAGCTTGGAGGAGTCTTTTGTCAAACAGTCGTCTTGGTCGTAGATCATCACGAGAAAACCGGAACGACTGGTGTTGTAATCAATCGGTACGTCGAATCAATTTTAATCTGTTCTCGATCAATGCGTTGGCGGTGTCAGATGAATGTGCATTCAAATCTAATCTCGCACCGACTGCTCACGTACTCGTATTGTTAATTCTCTTTTCTTTTTGACTGCCTCCCTACCAATGCAGGCCACTCGATGGAAACCTTTTGAAAATAGCTTCCGAACAGCAAACAAACCTCGATTTGTCGCTGAAGCTCGCATTCACTTCATCTCCTGTCACGTATGGCGGTCCCGTTTTGACGGAGGAATTTGCCGTCCTTCATGGCTTTGGCCATGTAGAGGGTTCAAAAAAATTGGCACCTGGAGTGTACATTGGAGGATCGGAAGAGCTCATGTCCGAAGTCCGAATATCTCGATTCGATCCACGAAATGCGCTTTTCATCAAGGGGCATGCCGCTTGGGTGTCGGGCCAACTAGAGCGAGAGATCCAAAAGGGTGTTTGGTACATTGCATCCACGTCTTCTGATTTTTTGTTGCGTTATGCAGGTGCCCCTGTGACGGAGGATGACGACGAGACGGATCTGTGGGCGGACATTTTGAATTGCATGGGAGGCAAGTACGCAGAAATCGCCTCGAAGCACAGTGGGCGTGGAGATCGAAGAATGATGCCATAAAAGTACCAAGAGTTGCACATAATTGTTCAAATATTATTACAACCGAAAAAGAAATCATCTCCACGGGAGTCAGGGACAACCGTTTGCTCTGTCAGTTCAGATCCCAGTACAAAACAAATCAGAATCATGAGCACCATTTATCACACTTCAGAAATGTATCACGCATAATTTAGAAAAGTTCTTTGCCTTAACGAACAGTAGTGCACTTGTACTCATAGCACTACGATGTTTTGTTAAACTTTGAATTCGAAGATCGATTCGATTAACCACGAAGAAAAGCATTGTCGTCTACACTATTGATGTACGTCACGTAACCATAATAGATACTAGGAATCATCCTCAGCCATACGGGTATAATACTTCGTTAGAATAGTCGGTTGCTAATGTGTTGTATTATTATTATTTTTTCTCACAAGTTAATCATGATTTCTTCCAAATTCTTTCATAGCATATTACTAATAGTACACATGAATGAAAATATTTCAAGACTCATACCAAAACTAATATTTTATCACTATTACATTGTAACAGTTGCTGATATGGAGCATGATGCTGCCCTGATACAGGGGAGTTGCTGATATGGAGGATTCTTCCCTGATACAGAGGACACTGGATACAGACAGCTGGTGGTGGTGGTGGTAGGTTGTCAAATGCCAAATTTGGCTGCTGCTAAAATACTGCTATTTCTTCTACACCAATCAGTCAATTTTTTCTTTTGAATCCTCTTCCTCTTATCATATAGTGTTGGCATTTAAAAAAAGCACAATTATATCATAGATTTTTTAATCCCATATTTGTACACAAATACCCCCTGACTCCCCCATACAACTACTATAATCCTCTCCAAATTCTCTTTCTAAGCACCATGTGCCTCCTCCTACTACTAGTACTAGTATACTTAGCAAGCATCCATTGTGGACTAAGATACAGCAGCTCAAACTGTCAGTTCAAGACTAAAACAGTGACAAGGTTATTTAACAGTGCATGGATAATATGGTGCCATTATTTTATCATGTAATGACTAGTTTGACTCAAAGCATTCCAGTCCCACAACAGACACAGTACAGCAATCATAACAGCACATGCACACAAAACTATTTTGGTTGCAAGAATTGTGGAAATAAAATTCAGTAGCACAGGCATGTCTGGCTGTAAACTTAGTGCAATTCAGTTTATTTGGTCAAAGTAGTCATTACACACAAAATAAGGGCCCGTAATCTACAACTGGATCATAGATTTAAACACAGGCTCCTCTATAGACTATGATAATAGAAAGGAATAGAACCTGCATGTCTTTTGCATGGGTTATGGAGGTCAAGGGTCTTTGCCAATGGTGTAACAGGTTGGATCTAATGAGGTTGATTGAATGAGCTTTTTGCAAATTTGGTTCCCAGAGAAATTGACAAGCCAGAAAAGGTTCTCAGCAATATTCACAAAGCAATATGCACATGGTGTTAAGCAATAAGTGGAAAGAAAATCCTTTCTGGCAAACAGATTCTCAAACTCCAATGAGTCCTTTGCTAGCACCATCAAGCAAGCAAAGCTAGGTGCTGATTACTAAAAAATGGCTCTCTGTTAACAATTTACTACTAGCAGCATTTGGTGTTGTTCTTCTTCTTGTTCTTGTTGGAATATTCTTACATAGTAGGCTAACTATGTGGTTTGTACTACTAGTAGTAGTATTCCCCATTCTTACTGTGGTAGCGGTACTCCAGCATCCAAAAACAATAAGAAGTAAGGACACCTTACCTCCTGTTAACATTCAGAATGTTATATCCAAGCAAAACCACAGTACTCAATTCTACACAAGTCTACGTGTTAACATTCAGAAAGAAGTTACTACTAAACCTTCCCATTACCATGTTTAAGGAAAGTTCAATTGTTATTTTATGCTTACTACTACTACTGTAATACTACAAGTAAAATATGCAAAATAACAATTAACCTAATTTCAATTGTTATTTTATGATTCCCGCAAACATAGAAATATGTAAAAATGAGGCCAGCAGACTCATTTTATGTCGTATCAAATTGCATAAATTTTGGTTGTTGTGGGCCCACGACAACCAGGATCTGCGTCACACAAACCGATATAATGGTGTTTTAAGTTTCCTGCGTGC